GGTTTGTCCCTGAACATGAAGAGTTCAGTTTCAGCTGAGACAAAAACATCGAGACTTACAGCAGGAGTCAGGTGACAACCAGGAGAGAAACACCTGGAGGATTACATCACTCTAACACACACACACACACACACACACACACACACTTACAGGTAGAAATGTGGTTGAACCTGCACAGTGAGAGTTTGTCCTGCAGTGATTTGACAGTAACACACTCACACAGACGGAGGCATAGACACAGTTTACCTGAGCAGGTGATCAATCAAACACACAGTGTGTGTCTGTGTTTGTTGTGTGTCTGTTTGTGTTTGCACGGAGCCTCTGTTTTTATCTGTGTACATTAATTTTAAAAACATCCATTAAAGTATTCGTTTTCTTAAAGGGGATGTTTCTGCTTTTATCAGACAGACGCCTTAAAGGTCCTTACACACCGGGCGAGAATTCGCCAGGCGAATTATTCGCCTTTTTTTAAAACAGCTTAAAGTCAATGCAAGCTTCCACACCGGCGGCGATTTTTCCGCGGGGCGAAAAGCCGCTTTTATTTTTTCGCTCCTGTGTCGAATTTTTCGGATATTCGCAGGCGAATATCTGGACCTGCTAGACCTCTGGCCAATCAAAAGTCATGTTGTTGATGACATCACAGACCCATACGGCTGGAGGAGAGGGGGAAGTTTGAGATTATGAATACGCAGAGAAAGGCAGCTGAGGTGCATCCAAAACTCTTTCTAATTACTAATGAAGTAGTTTCCTCACAAGATGAGACTCTCTTGTCTTCCTTAGGAGACAGATGTCATGTGTCATGTCCGTGCCGCAAAGCGACTTTATTAATTCGCTTTGCAAAAAATATACGCATATTCGCTTCGCGGCCGGTGTGTATAGGCGAAAGCGATTTTTCGGACCGGCGAATATTCGCAATTTTCGTCTCGCTTTTTCGCTTCGCTCCGCAAATTCGTCGGTGTGTAAGGACCTTTAGAGACAGGAAACACGGGGGGAGGGCGTGGAGCAGTGAATGGTCATGTGACTCTGGCCTCTGTACATGAAGCGCACGTTTAAACGCCGCAGACGTCCTGTGCGTCTGGTGCACACATTGGTCCAAGTCCAGATTCTGAAGACAGCGACCACCGTCTTTGGTCTTCATCGCCCTCTAATGATCAATCAGTGATCGATCACTTTAAATAGACACACAGACTTTTCATCGATCCAAATCTAATAATGAAGATCATCTCCAATATTATTAACGCCTTTAGCTCGCAGGTGGGCGGAGCTTACCTGCACAGTTCTTACAGATGACCACACACAGGTTGATGGAGGCCCAGTCCGGGTTGAGGGCTTTACAGTCCGCACACATCCTGTTGGAGCGGTTGGACCAGATCTTCTCGGCCACCTCGTAGTCCGACAGAGTCTCTGCGATGGACTCCTGCAGCGCCTCCATCCAGTCCCGCTTCTCCCGGTCCGAGTCCGCCGTGAAGCTGAGGGGGGCGGGGCAAAAGGTCAGAGGTCAGAGTCAAACATCTCTCTCAGGTACCACCATGAGTGTTCCACCTGTTCAGGTAGTCAGAGGTACCTGAAGTGTTTGTACGGGGTGATGAGCTCAAAGCTCTTGTGTTTCCCGTCTCTGATGGTCGATCCTCGAGCTTCGATCACCGTGATGCCGATCCCGTTACGGAAACACTGCAGAGACAGAGTTTGGAGACACATGAGAAGAGCTGAAGAAGCTGACTGAAGGACATGCTGCTGCTGATCCATGAAAAACAGGTCAGGGTGGAGCTACGGTCTGCGGCTTTTAAAGAGTGTGGTTGTCCACGCCGTAGATATAAAGGTGTAGTTTTACTGAGAACACGCACCAACAGGAAGATTTTAACCTGTTATATGAACCGTCATCACGTGACGGAGACACAGAAAAGTCTCACTGAAAAGGACGGAGACGGTCTGTCAGCTGACTCACCTGTTCACTCTTGTACAGCCAGATCTGGTCGGTGATGATGGCGGCGTAAACTTTGGACTTGGTTCCCTTCAGCTCCAGCACGCCGTGTTTCTGGCAGTGAGAACCCGGACCGAACCGCCTCCGCCCAAACACCAGCTGATCCTGGACATGCTCCTGCAGCGTACCGACCCACCGCCGCTTCAGGACTGAGACGCAGACAGACACAACATGACATCATCATACTCATCATCATCATGGTCATCACATTCATCATTATAATCATCATCATTACATTCGTCATCTTCATCAACATCATCATCATCATTGTCATGGTCATCACATTCATTATTATAATCATCATCATCACTTTCATCATCACCATCATCATCATCATTACCATTATCACCACCATCACCATCATCATCATCATCACTTTCATCATCATCATCATCATCATCATCACCATTATCACCACCATCACCATCATCATCATCATCACCACCATCATCACCATCATCATCACCACCATCTTCATCACCATCATCATCATCATCACCACCATCCTCTTCACTATCATCGTCATCATCATTCTCATCATCATCATCACCATCATCATCACCGACATCACCATCATCATCATCATCATCACCATCACCATCACCATCATCATCATCACTATCATCATCACCACCATCACCATCATCATCATCTTCACCACCATCATCATCACCATCATCATCACCATCATCATCATCATCACCATCATGATTGTCATCATTCTCATCATCATCATCACCATCATCTTCACCATCATCATCATCACCACCATCACCATCATCACCACCATCATCATCATCATCATCACCATCATCACCACCATCATCTTCATCATCACCATCATCACCATCATCATCATCATCACCATCATCACCACCATCATCATCATCATCACCATCATCACCACCATCATCATCATCATCATCATCATCATCATCACCACCATCATCATCATCACCATCATCACCACCATCATCATCATCATCACCATCATCATCATCACCACCATCATCATCATCACCACCATCATCATCATCATCACCATCATCATCACCATCATCATCATCATCTGTAGTCGTCCTGTTGTCTCGTCAGAGAAGATGAGAACTTGAGGTTTATTTCTGTGTAACTGTAGAACATTATCATTCACACAGTAATGCAGCCATACTGTCATTCACATACTGAGTTTGTGTGAGTCAGCTGTGAAGTCTGGAGTCTCTCCTCTAGTGTCTGTACTCCACAGGGACAGGGCTCTGCTGTGGGGGGCTGGAGCAGGGTTAAAGTTCAGTGTTTGGGCAGATTTGGACAAATGTTCTAGAAGGAGTTTGGTTTCATCACGTTCTCCCCCTCATGGTGCAGACGGAGTTCAAACAGACTGATCAAAATCTGGGTTCAGTCTGGTCTAGTAGGTCAGTGGGTCGGTCTTTGTCTGTCCCAGCTGGAGTTGAGTCACATGACCTGCCGGGCGTCCCTCTCTGCTGTCTCTATCGTCATGGTTACCCCTCTGACACCAGCTGAGACAGAGATCTGGGAATCTACGGTTTTATCTCTTGTGGTGTGTCACTGCGTGTCAGCCTCAGCGAGTCCTTCATGGTGGATTTTCCTCTCTGTCTCCTGTGATTGTTTTGATACATCAGAGATGTTGACCAATGAGAGTGCAGAGGAGCCCGAACACGCAGAAGTCAAGAGAACGGTGAGGAGAAACAGGGTCCTTGGTCCTTTTAGAGACCTCGTTGGAACCTGTGTGTGTGTGTGTGTGTGTGTGTGTGTGTGTGTGTGTGTGTGTGTGTGTGTGTGTGTGCATGTATGTTTACCTTCATTATCAGCCTTGAAAACAAAGATCCGATGACTCGTAACAATTTCAAACTTGTTGTCTTTGGCGGGGCGGGCCATCTGGATGGCAGCCAATGGGATCACTCCTTTAGGGTAGACGTCCTGAAACACAGCAGGGGGTTATCAAAACATCCACCAACCCTGACTCTGCTGGTCTCCAAACTCAAACTATAAACGGTTTTCACCTGGATCTGAGGTCCAGAGAGGACCACCATGTTCAGATAATCCGGTCTACAGAGTACCAGTGAGTCCAAACGGGACCGTCCTAAACCGTCTCTGAACCAGCAGAACAAAAATCACTAAAGAGACCATCAGTGTTTTTTTTACCTTCTCACTGCCGAAGTACATCAGGTTCTTTCCATCGAACTTCACATAGCGCTTCTGGAAGACGTAGTTCCTACAGAGGGAGAAGATGTTATCCACAGAGAGTCATGTGATCACTCATCTTCTACACGGTTAAGACACATCAGGGTCTTCAGAGTTTTGGTCTCATGAAGTCCTCTCACTAAGTGTTTGTTTTCAGGGTGTTACTATTTACACAGCAGAGTCCAGCCTCTCTACTTAAAGGGATATTCTAAATTAATTCAGGGTCAAACCCACCGTAACACCGAGTTAGACCCCCCCTCCAGAGATGAATGTTGTCGACCGCTTACTTCTCTAGTTATACCAACTTTAGTAACGACCACAGGATAGAAATACAGAGAGCCACGCCCTCAACCAAAACGCCACTCTATAACCACAAATAATGCTCAGAACAGCACCTAACTTCATCAACGGACATCAACGAACATTAACGATCATTTCTTCATGGAAATACAATCAGACCGAGACGCTAAGACAGAAGAACTACCGCGTCTGTAAAATGATCAATATGGTGATTATTACTTCAAGGAAATGATGAAGAAATGATCATAAATGTTCTTCCTTGAGCTGCGAAACCCCGCTGTAGTCTGTAATGGACTGGCCTGAGGTCTCTCTACAAACAAACGTCTGCTGGAAGAGAGTAGGTGAGTTGGTGTATTTCTATCCTGCGGTCGTTACTAAAGTTGGTATAACTAGAGAAGGAAGCGGTCGACAACATTCATCTCTGGAGGGGGGCGGGGTCTAACTCGGTGTTACGGTGGGTTTGACCCTACATTAATTTTACAGCAGAATATCCCTTTAAATGATGTGAGAGCGCTGCTGCGAGTCTGTGTGTACACACCAAAGGATTATGGGATGGGAGCTCCTACGCCGTATTACCATACCATGAGTGTCAGACTTTAGACCAGGTTTAAGGGTTAGGGTTAACACCCCCCCCCCACTGTGCCTGACCCCACCTGAGTGTCTGACAGAGACTCACAGCAGATAAAACAGATTCATTCATAAACACACGTCTGTTAGTGACATAAAAACACTCAGAGAGGAGGTACGCAGTGATGAGGAGAAGGAAACGAGGGAAGAAGAAAAGACAAACACACACCGAGCAGAGGATGGAGAAGAAGAAGAAGAAGAAGAGGAGGAGAAAAAGGTGACGAGGCAGAGGCAGCTCCTCAGGATGGAGGAGACACAGGGAGGAGAGGAGAGGAGGACACGGAGCAGAAGAGCTGGCGCCGACCTCTGACCCCTGATGAATACAACACACACGCACACACACACACACGCACACACACACACACACACACACAGTATGTGAAGTCTTCAGACTGAGAGCCTCTGATTTCCCGTCTAACAGGAAGTTGTCTTTAATGGTTACAGTTTCTGAATCGACTGCTGTGATTGGCTGAGGTGAAAAGATAGGAGGTTTGAGCTGAAAGTATCTCAGGTATTAAAATCAAACACACCTCCATGTAAACAGATGGACCATGAGTCACACAGAACATCAGGAAACCCACTCCCCTAAAACTGAAACTCCTTCTCTCATCACCATCCGTCCCGTTTAAGCCCCGCCCACCTCAGGAAGTTCTGGTTCTAACGGCCCGTCCCTCTTGGTGTCCCTCAGGGCTCCATCCTCAGTCCACCACTGTTTTAGAAGAGGATGCTCCTTCACAAAAGTGAAGCGAAACTTCAATATGACCCTCTGCTGATTGGCTGCTGTAAAACTCCTAAGACACGCCTACTTTATGATGACGGATGGGTCAAGAGTGGAGCTCTTAAATCTAAGGTCGAAACACGGTTCTTTAACGTGGTTCCTGTCATCACAGACGGTTCTACTGGTGCTGATTCAGGTCCACCCTGAACACCCTGACTGACAGCTCTCTGGACCAATGAGAGTCCTGCGGCGCAGGTGCAGCAGATGATCAGAGTATAAACAAACAGGAACATAAGAGTCCCTGAACTCTCCGTAATCAAGGGTGTCAGACCTGTTCCAGCTGATCTGCTGTGAACCTGATCTGCTGTGAACCGGACCCCCTGAGGGAGCTTTAAGGTGGACCGGACTCACCTGAGGGAGCTTTAAGGTGGACTGGACTCACCTGAAGGAGCTTCGAGGTGGACCGGACCCCCTGAGGGAGCTTTAAGGTGGACCGGATCCCCTGAGGGAGCTTTAAGGTGGACCGGACTCACCTGAAGGAGATTCGAGGTGGACCGGACTCACCTGAGGGAGCTCTGAGGTGGACCGGACTCACCTGAAGGAGCTTTAAGGTGGACCGGACCCCCTGAGGGAGCTTTAAGGTGGACCGGACTCACCTGAAGGAGCTTTAAGGTGGACCGGACTCACCTGAAGGAGCTTTAAGGTGGACCGGACTCACCTGAGGGAGCTTTAAGGTGGACCGGACTCACCTGAAGGAGCTCTGAGGTGGACCAGACTCACCTGAGGGAGCTTTAAGGTGGACCGGACTCACCTGAAGGAGCTTTGAGGTGGACCGGACTCACCTGAAGGAGCTTTAAGGTGGACCGGACTCACCTGAGGGAGCTTTAAGGTGGACCGGACTCACCTGAGGGAGCTTTAAGGTGGACCGGACCCACCTGAAGGAGCTTTAAGGTGGACCGGACTCACCTGAAGGAGCTCTGAGGTGGACCAGACTCACCTGAGGGAGCTTTAAGGTGGACCGGACTCACCTGAAGGAGCTTTGAGGTGGACCGGACTCACCTGAAGGAGCTTTAAGGTGGACCGGACCCCCTGAAGGAGCTTTAAGGTGGACTGGACTCACCTGAAGGAGCTTTGAGGTGGACCAGACTCACCTGAGGGAGCTTTAAGGTGGACCGGACTCACCTGAAGGAGCTTTAAGGTGGACCGGACTCACCTGAGGGAGCTTTAAGGTGGACCGGACTCACCTGAGGGAGCTTTAAGGTGGACCGGACCCCCTGAAGGAGCTTTAAGGTGGACCGGACTCACCTGAGGGAGCTTTAAGGTGGACCGGACTCACCTGAAGGAGCTTTAAGGTGGACCGGACTCACCTGAAGGAGCTTTAAGGTGGACCGGACCCCCTGAAGGAGCTTTAAGGTGGACCGGACTCACCTGAAGGAGCTTTAAGGTGGACCGGACCCCCTGAAGGAGCTTTAAGGTGGACCGGACTCACCTGAGGGAGCTTTAAGGTGGACCAGACTCACCTGAGGGAGCTTTAAGGTGGACCGGACTCACCTGAAGGAGCTTTAAGGTGGACCGGACTCACCTGAGGGAGCTTTAAGGTGGACCGGACTCACCTGAAGGAGCTTTAAGGTGGACCGGACTCACCTGAGGGAGCTTTAAGGTGGACCGGACCCACCTGAGGGAGCTTTAAGGTGGACTGGACTCACCTGAAGGAGCTCTGAGGCCTCATTATTCAGTTTTGCTGTTCATGAGAGGAGACGTGGTCGGTCCCACCCCCCAGGACTCAAACTCACCCCTGTGGAGACAGCTTGTCCAGCCAGCCGCTGATGATGGGCGGGGCTCTCTCGCTCAGGGAGGTGTAGCTGGCGTAGGGGGAGATGGTGAGGTCCTCGTCTGCCTCGGGGGCGAAGGTGTGGGCGGGCAGGGAGAGGTAGCGGACAGGGGGTGGAGGTTCTCCGACCGTGCTGTAGCCCTGAGAGTCTCCTGAGTGAAGAGCCTGAGACAAACGCCTGGTCCAGGAGAACTTCTGGTTCCTGGAGGTCCAACAGAACTTCGTTAACTCGGACGCCGATCTTTCAAACTAAAAATCAGGTCCCTCACTTTTGTTTACTTCCTGTATTAACGTTCAGATTCAGGTCGTTTTAAAAACACGTATAAAAAGATTTTATTCTTCCTCGTTTCATTTTTGTAGTTTTCGTTCACTCGTCTGATCTCTGTCTGATGTGGTCATCTTACCCATGATCCTCTGCAGGTTTCTCCTCTCCTTTCCTGGCGTTTCTTTCCTCCAGTTTTCCTCTTTCACTCTGCAGGATAAAAACACCGTTACAGCGCCGTAACATCACAAGTTTAATCCCAATAACCGCTTAAATAAATGAAAGTAGGAGGGACCGTTTAGGAGCTGATCTCTGTCCAACAGCAGGTGTCTTTTTAAAATCATTTCCAATACTAACATTATCGTTATCAATAGATTTATTATGGATATGCTTCAGTCTCTTTAGGTTACCGATCAGATAATTATTGACACTTTCTATCTGATCTGTGACTGTCTTCACCAGGAACTCTTAACCCATCAGAAGTAGCTCATCCTTCAAAATAAAAGCACAGACTGACCGTCTAGAAAATAAAGCGACCTGAAAATGTCTGAAAACGTTAAACGTGAGTCTGTGATCTGTGTTTCGCTCCGTCTTTATTCTGCTTCTCCTGAATCTGACCGATCGTGTCCGTCTTAAATATCACAATAATCCGGGCGGAAACTGGGATCATGGGTCAGATCGGGTCTTTACCTCCACGATGAGCGGGTTCCTCCTGGTTTGGAAAACAGTTTCACAGTACGGGCTGATCTCCTCCTCGGGGTCGTCTGTGGACGCTGTTGGACAGAAAACGACTTCATAAGAACCAGGAGCAGTAATATAAAAATAATAATAATAATAATAATAATAATGATAATAATAATAATAATAATAATAATAATAATAATAATAATAATAATGATAATAATAATAATAATAATAATAATAATGATAATGATAATAATAATAATAATAATAATAATAATAATAATAATAATAATAATAATAATATTTCCATGAAGACAGCAGCAGACAGGTTAACATGCAGCTGTAAAGAGTCTTCAGGAGGAGCTCTGAGTGAAGATCATGACTCTACAAACTCACAGTGTTACTGTTAAAGTCCCGGTTGATGATTGTAGAGATTAGTAATTATTATGAACCTCGTTTCCATGGCGATCATGGTCCGATAGTTCGATCTCCACAAAGAGAAAAAAGATCGGAAAAAATCCGTTCACCCTATCAGGTGCAGGGCTGCAAAAACATCGACCAATAGGAGCCAACTGTCCCAGACAGCTCCTATTGGTCAATCTTCTGCTCCACCAATCACCTTGCTGTATTGGACACACCCCTCTCCCGTAGTTCCGACTCGTCCCCTCCCACTCTCCCGACTCGTCCTCGGAGCTCTGAGCGGGTAAAAGTAGCAGCTTAGCTACAGGAGCTGTGATGGAGAAGGACGCAAAATAAACACTTCTGCTCGCCACACCGCCAAAACGCAAACCGACAGAAGAAAGGGGCGGAGTCAGAGAGGACATGTGACCAAGCGAGGAATCAAACGTGAAAAAAAAAGCTAGCAAGTGCTTCTCAGATCGTCGACCGTGACTTTAACACTCAAACTGAGGAACTGTGAGGACTCCGAGGACAGCAGGAAGTCCATCAGAACTTCTCAGAACCGTCTGAAGTTCTTCAGACTAACAGCCGGTCTTTGGGTCCAGAAACAGCAGAAGAACTGACCTCGAGCTGATCCGGAGGAGTTGTTACTCAGGGTGCTGCCGCTGAAAAACAAAGAGAGAGAGGAGGTTCAGAGGGAGGAGGAGGTTCAGAGAGAGGAGGTTCAGAGAGAGAGGAGGTTCAGAGAGAGAGAGAGAGGAGGTTCAGAGAGAGAGAGGAGGTTCAGAGAGAGAGGAGGTTCACAAAGAGAGAGAGAGAGGAGGTTCAGAGAGAGAGGAGGTTCAGAGAGAGAGAGGAGGTTCTGAGAGAGAGAGGAGGTTCAGAGAGAGAGGAGGTTCACAAAGAGAGAGAGAGGAGGTTCAGAGAGAGAGGAGGTTCAGAGAGAGAGAGGAGGTTCTGAGAGAGAGAGGAGGTTCAGAGAGAGAGGAGGTTCACAAAGAGAGAGAGAGAGGAGGTTCAGAGAGAGAGGAGGAGGTTCAGAGAGAGAGAGGAGGTTCTGAGAGAGAGGAGGTTCAGAGAGAGAGAGGAGGTTCAGAGAGAGACGAGGAGGTTCAGAGAGAGAGGAGGTTCAGAGAGACGAGGAGGTTCAGAGAGAGGAGGTTCAGAGAGAGAGGAGGTTCAGAGAGAGAGGAGGTTCAGAGAGAGGAGGTTCACAGAGAGGAGGTTCAGAGAGAGAGAGGAGGTTCAGAGAGAGGAGGTTCAGAGAGAGAGAGGAGGTTCAGAGAGAGAGAGGAGGTTCAGAGAGAGACGAGGAGGTTCAGAGAGAGAGAGAGAGGAGGTTCAGAGAGAGACGAGGAGGTTCAGAGAGAGAGGAGGTTCAGAGAGACGAGGAGGTTCAGAGAGAGAGAGAGAGGAGGTTCACAGAGAGAGAGGAGGTTCACAGAGAGAGGAGGTTCAGAGAGACGAGGAGGTTCACAGAGATGAGGAGGTTCAGAGAGAGAGAGAGGAGGTTCAGAGAGACGAGGAGGTTCACAGAGATGAGGAGGTTCAGAGAGAGAGAGGAGGTTCAGAGAGAGAGGAGGTTCAGAGAGAGAGAGAGGAGGTTCAGAGAGAGAGGAGGTTCAGAGAGACGAGGAGGTTCAGAGAGAGAGGAGGTTCAGAGAGAGAGGAGGTTCAGAGAGAGAGAGAGGAGGTTCAGAGAGAGAGGAGGTTCAGAGAGAGAGAGGAGGTTCAGAGAGAGAGGAGGAGGTTCACAGAGAGAGAGAGAGGAGGTTCAGAGAGACGAGGAGGTTCAGAGAGAGAGAGGAGGTTCAGAGAGAGAGGAGGTTCAGAGAGACGAGGAGGTTCAGAGAGAGAGAGGAGGTTCAGAGAGAGAGAGGAGGTTCAGAGAGACGAGGAGGTTCAGAGAGAGAGGAGGTTCAGAGAGAGAGGAGGTTCAGAGAGAGAGGAGGTTCACAAAGAGAGAGAGAGAGGAGGTTCAGAGAGAGGAGGAGGTTCACAGAGAGAGAGGAGGTTCACAGAGAGAGGAGGAGGTTCAGAGAGAGAGGAGGTTCAGAGAGAGAGAGGAGGTTCAGAGAGACGAGGAGGTTCAGAGAGAGAGAGGAGGTTCAGAGAGAGGAGGTTCACAGAGAGAGAGGAGGTTCACAGTGAGAGGAGGTTCACAGAGAGAGGAGGTTCAGAGAGAGAGGAGGTTCAGAGAGACGAGGAGGTTCAGAGAGAGAGAGAGGAGGTTCAGAGAGAGAGGAGGTTCAGAGAGAGAGGAGGTTCAGAGAGAGAGGAGGTTCAGAGAGACGAGGAGGTTCAGAGAGAGAGAGAGGAGGTTCACAGAGAGAGAGAGGAGGAGGTTCAGAGAGAGAGAGAGGAGGTTCAGAGAGACGAGGAGGAGGTTCACAGAGAGAGAGGAGGTTCAGAGAGAGAGAGGAGGTTCAGAGAGAGAGAGGAGGTTCAGAGAGAGAGAGGAGGTTCAGAGAGAGAGGAGGAGGTTCAGAGAGAGAGGAGGTTCAGAGAGAGAGAGGAGGTTCAGAGAGACGAGGAGGTTCAGAGAGAGAGGAGGTTCAGAGAGACGAGGAGGTTCAGAGAGAGAGGGAGGTTCAGAGAGAGAGAGAGGAGGTTCAGAGAGAGGAGGTTCAGAGAGAGAGGAGGTTCAGAGAGAGAGAGAGAGGAGGTTCAGAGAGAGAGGAGGTTCAGAGAGAGAGGAGGTTCAGAGAGAGAGAGAGAGAGAGAGAGAGAGAGGAGGTTCAGAGGGAGAGGAGGTTCAGAGAGAGAGAGAGGAGGTTCAGAGAGAGAGGAGGAGGTTCAGAGAGACGAGGAGGTTCAGAGATAGAGGACGTTCAGAGATAGAGGAGGTTCAGAGAGAGAGAGAGATAGAGGAGGTTCAGAGAGAGAGAGAGGAGGTTCAGAGAGACGAGGAGGTTCAGAGAGAGAGGAGGTTCAGAGAGACGAGGAGGTTCACAGAGAGAGAGAGGAGGTTCAGAGATAGAGAGAGGAGGTTCAGAGAGAGGAGGTTCAGAGAGAGAGGAGGTTCACAGAGAGAGAGAGGAGGTTCAGAGAGAGAGGAGGTTCACAGAGAGAGAGAGGAGGTTCAGAGAGAGGAGGTTCAGAGAGAGAGGAGGTTCACAGAGAGAGAGAGGAGGTTCAGAGAGAGAGAGAGGAGGTTCAGAGAGAGAGGAGGTTCACAGAGAGAGAGAGGAGGTTCAGAGAGAGAGAGGAGGTTCAGAGAGAGAGGAGGTTCAGAGAGAGGAGGTTCAGAGAGAGAGAGGAGGTTCAGAGAGAGGAGGTTCAGAGAGACAAGGAGGTTCAGAGAGACGAGGAGGTTCAGAGAGAGAGGAGGTTCAGAGAGAGAGGAGGTTCAGAGAGAGAGAGAGGAGGTTCAGAGAGAGAGAGAGAGGAGGTTCAGAGAGAGGAGGAGGTTCACAGAGAGAGAGGAGGTTCAGAGAGAGAGAGGAGGTTCACAGAGAGAGAGAGGAGGTTCAGAGAGAGGAGGTTCAGAGAGAGAGGAGGTTCACAGAGAGAGGAGGTTCACAGAGAGAGGAGGTTCAGAGAGACGAGGAGGTTCAGAGAGAGAGGAGGTTCAGAGAGAGAGAGGAGGTTCAGAGAGAGAGAGGAGGTTCAGAGAGAGAGGAGGTTCAGAGAGAGAGAGAGGAGGTTCAGAAAGGAGAGGAGGTTCAGAGAGAGAGGAGGTTCAGAGAGAGAGGAGGAGGTTCAGAGAGAGAGGAGGTTCAGAGAGAGAGGAGGTTCAGAGAGAGGAGGAGGTTCAGAAAGGAGAGGAGGTTCAGAGAGAGAGAGAGAGGAGGTTCAGAGAGACGAGGAGGTTCAGAGAGAGAGGAGGTTCAGAGATAGACGAGGAGGTTCAGAGAGAGAGGAGGTTCAGAGAGAGAGGAGGTTCACAGAGAGAGGAGGTTCACAGAGAGAGGAGGTTCAGAGAGAGAGGAGGTTCAGAGAGAGGAGGTTCAGAGAGACGAGGAGGTTCAGAGAGAGAGGAGGTTCAGAGAGAGAGAGGAGGTTCAGAGAGAGGAGGTTCAGAGAGAGAGGAGGTTCAGAGAGACGAGGAGGTTCAGAGAGAGAGGAGGTTCAGAGAGAGAGGAGGTTCAGAGAGAGAGAGAGAGGAGGTTCAGAGATAGAGGAGGTTCAGAGAGAGAGGAGGTTCAGAGAGAGAGGAGGTTCAGAGAGAGAGAGAGGAGGTTCAGAGAGAGGAGGAGGTTCAGAGAGAGGAGGTTCAGAGAGAGAGAGAGAGGAGGTTCAGAGAGACGAGGAGGTTCAGAGAGAGAGGAGGTTCAGAGATAGACGAGGAGGTTCAGAGAGAGAGGAGGTTCAGAGAGAGAGGAGGTTCACAGAGAGAGGAGGTTCACAGAGAGAGGAGGTTCAGAGAGAGAGGAGGTTCAGAGAGAGAGGAGGTTCAGAGAGAGGAGGTTCAGAGAGAGAGGAGGTTCAGAGAGACGAGGAGGTTCAGAGAGAGAGGAGGTTCAGAGAGAGAGGAGGTTCAGAGAGAGAGAGAGAGGAGGTTCAGAGAGAGAGGAGGTTCAGAGAGAGAGGAGGTTCAGAGAGAGAGAGGAGGTTCAGAGAGAGAGAGAGGAGGTTCTGAGAGAGAGGAGGTTCAGAGAGAGGAGGTTCAGAGAGAGAGGAGGTTCAGAGATAGACGAGGAGGTTCAGAGAGAGAGGAGGTTCAGAGAGAGAGGAGGTTCAGAGATAGACGAGGAGGTTCAGAGAGAGAGGAGGTTCAGAGAGAGAGGAGGTTCAGAGAGAGAGAGAGAGGAGGTTCAGAGATAGAGGAGGTTCAGAGATAGAGGAGGTTCAGAGAGAGAGGAGGTTCAGAGAGAGAGAGGAGGTTCAGAGAGAGAGAGGAGGTTCAGAGAGAGAGAGAGGAGGTTCTGAGAGGAGGAGGTTCAGAGAGGAGGAGGTGAAAAGGTGTCCCTCAGCAGATGAACTCCAGGACGTTTAGATCTGGACCCTCTGAAGGACCTCCAGCTGTAGACCCACCTGTTCCTCTCCGGGTTCCGCTCAGGTGTGTGTCTGGGTGGAGTTGGAGGAGCGCTCTGCTGGATGCAGTAACTCCTCCCTCCAGCGGGGGCAGTAGAAGCAGGTAAGGTGCCCCAGTAGATCTCATTAGAGACCATCTCCATCCCGGCTCCTCGGGGGGAACCAGACGAGGATCCAGAGAGCCGGCTGCTGGCAGGGGCGGAGCAGGGTCAGGTTCCGGTGGGACAGAAGTGAAGAACGGGTGCGGTCCGGCGGCGGTTGAAGACAGTTCTGGGTTTGGGGAACAGGAGGTAACAACCCTCCGGCGTCGGACAGAGACAAACTGCGGCTCGGTTTCCTCCTCTCCTGGCCCGGTCGGACCGGTGTGTTCAGGTCATCGTGGAGGTCAGAGGTCAACCTGTGACCAGGACCAGCGGGGTCTCCTGAGGTTAGACCCTCTAAGACAGTCAAACAGATGGACTCCTGAGAGAGTCTCCTGGGCAGGGGCGGAGCAGGGTCAGGGGTGGGACAGAAGTGGACGGGTGCGGTCCGGCGGCGGTTGAAGACAGTTCTGGGTTTGGGGACGGGCTTCATGACGGGTCGAGCGCTGTCGGCGTTGGTCAGCATGGCGTTGAGGTTTGGGGCCGAACTGTTCCTGAACGCCTCAAAGTTAACGGGTCCTGACTGACGGAGCGCCGCTGCGCTGTGACCCCGCCCTGAGGGGGAGGAGTCAGACACAGACTGACAGCGGTCACGTGGGAGATCCGCCCTCTGATTGGCTCTCTGAGCCTCTGTCCTCTGAATGTAACCCACCAATCGGAGGATCCTCTTCCTGTGTCCTGTGGCGGTTATTCCCAGGCTGACCAGGGCGTCATGGTCCAGGTGGGTGAAGTCTCTGGCCAATAGGAGACCAGCTTTACAGAAGCTGTCCAGGTACCTGCCGGGAGAGACACAGAGAGTCACACCTGGACGCTCAGCAGGTCAGAGGTCAGAGGTCAGAGGTGTTCTGATGATGTCTGTGGACTAACGCTGCGTTCGAGTTTCCTCGGAAATCAGAAGTCGGAGCTGAAAATGACGTCACACCTGAGTTTACAACGTTTCAGTGACCAAGTCGGAGAAAAACAAAAACAAGACGGCTACGAAAGTTATTTTAGCGCTTGACTTGTCCGAGTGCTAAAGTAACTAACGTAGACGGAGGGCGTCATTTTCAGCTCGGACTTTCATGGTGACTCGAACGCAGCATAAACCAACACTGAGTCAGAGAACAGACGCCGACTCTTTTCAGGAGAGACGGGGGTGTCACCTTCCTCTCAGCTCCACTTTAACGTTCATCATCAGATCAGAGAAGAGAGTTAAAATCCACTCACTCTGTGAGACCGGCGGCTGATAAACTCTTTCTAACCCTTCAGAGTTTTAGTCGTCACTGAAATGTTATTTCTGTTTGTTAGCCGACAAGGAGGCTGCCATCTTTGTTTTAGTCTGTTGACCAATCAGAGACGAGTAAGACGGATGTGTCGATCTGCTCTGAGTGTAGAAATATAAACGATAGAACAGACTTACATGAAATTTTCGTATTTCAGGGTTCGACTCTAACTTTGTTCTCCTAAATTAAAAAAGTAAGGAGCACAAAGAACTTAAGGGGATCAATGAAAACTGATCAATAATGTTTGTCTTATTGATCGACCTTAGTGCTATTATTAGAAATCAATTTGAGGTCTTTTGGTCACATGACAGTGAAGCTATTGAAGGAAAACAGCCTTTTCTGAGAACATCAACCGGTAATTTATTGACGGTCCCTTATTCAACACCGACGTTGACAGTGAGGGTGTCGAGTAGATTTAGCCGCGCTGCTGTTGTTATTCCCGGTTATGGAGAGAGAGAAGACACCGGTAGATCCTCAGAGAATGTCCGTCAGATATCCAACCTGAAACTAACTTCACCGCCGTATTTACAGGAAAATATATCCAACCTGAAACTAACTTCACCGCCGTATTTACAGGAAAATATATCCAACCTGAAACTAACTTCACCGCCGTATTTACAGGAAAATATATCCAACCTGAAACTAACTTCACCGCCGTATTTACAGGAAAATATATCCAACCTAAAACTAACTTCACCGCCGTATTTACAGGAAAATATATCCAACCTAAAACTAACTTCACCGCCGTATTTACAGGAAAATATATCCAACCTAAAACTAACTTCACCGCCGTATTTACAGGAAAATATATCCAACCTAAAACTAACTTCACCGCCGTATTTACAGGAGAATATATCCAACCTGAAACTAACTTCACCGCCGTATTTACAGGAAAATATATCCAACCTGAAACTAACTTCACCGCCGTATTTACAGGAAAATATATCCAACCTGAAACTAACTTCACCGCCGTATTTACAGGGAAATATATCCAACCTAAAACTAACTTCACCGCCGTATTTACAGGAAAATATATCCAACCTGAAACTAACTTCACCGCCGTATTTACAGGAAAATATATCCAACCTGAAACTAACTTCACCGCCGTATTTACAGGGAAATATATCCAACCTAAAACTAACTTCACCGCCGTATTTACAGGAAAATATATCCAACCTAAAACTAACTTCACCGCCGTATTTACAGGAAAATATATCCAACCTAAAACTAACTTCACCGCCGTATTTACAGGAAAATATATCCAACCTTAAACTAACTTCACTGCAGTGTAGATTTAGCCGCGCTGCTGTTGTTATTCCCGGTTATGGAGAGTGAGAAGACTGCCCTCTCACTCTGTATTTAGAAAACTCACATCAGTCCGTCTGTGATCTTTCTGACTCTTTTACACACGATAAAATTCGTCAAATTTAAATAATCTCATTCCTTCGTAAACTTCTACGGTTTAATCCGATCAGTCGACTTTTCAGGATCTGTTCAAAAACAACGACGTGTTTCTATATGGGGGTGTATCCGGTGACCTCTGACCTCTCCAGGTGTATCACTGATAGAAGCTTGTCAACCGGCGTGCTTCCATCCAGCGTTGCCATGACGACCAACATGGAGTCCCGCTCTGACTCCGCCCCGTTCAGGAAACACGGCGGCCATCACTGACCTACAGCGGGGACGGAGGACGGCCGTCCATCTGCAGGAGACGAGGACAGACGTGCGCGCACACACACACACACACACACACACACACACACACACAGACACACACACACACAGTTAGGGTTTATAAGATTTTATCACACTGACATAACGAGTCTTTATCAGCAGCAGAGTCTGTTTTTACTGCACTCAGATGGCATCACTGTGACCTTTGACCCCAGTAAAGGTCACCCCCCCCAAGCCTGCCTCAGACTCAGAACAAAACATGATGTCATCAGGCAGAGACAGCGGCGGGATTGTTTCACAGCGTCTACATCAGGATGACCTCTGACCTCTGTACACACAGAGCCGGAGGTTATGGGGGGGGGTGTCAGTATGAACAGGGGGCGGTCTTTAGCAGAACACCAAGAGAGAGATCAGCTGACCCTCACTCAGACAGAGAACACACCTCGGGGTGTTTCCTGTCATGTGGCGAGTGTTTTTAAAATCTGAGGAAACGCAGAGGAGATCTTCTGACCACATGACCTCAGAACATCCAAGAGCATCAGAGCGCCATCACCTTCTGGACCAAGAGGAGGTCCAGCCTCAGAAGAAACTCTCAGTGTGTTTACAGTCTCAGTTTAATCGGACTATCACCTCATAATTCTTCTCTCCTCGTCCTCGTTTACATGCAGCTGAGAAAATTGAATTATTGACGTGAACGTGTCCTCCTCCCCAACACTAGGGGGCAATCTCCATACGGACACTAAAACCTGCTGACTCCTGATTGGTCGATAACTTTCAGATTGCGAGACTCATAAATAAGGCGACGTTCACTCTGCAGGTTCTGATGCACAATTCAGATTTTTTGTTAAATCCGATCTTTTAGTGCGGTCGTTCACGTTACAACGACGACGACGATCATCTAATGTGAACAGAATGTGTCCGTGAAGTGACCTGCCTAAATTTCTCTCTGCGTCTGTTTGTGTTGTTGAACAATGGTGACGTTTGTCTCATATTGATGACGTAAAGGTCGGATGAACTCGACCTGAGCGTCACACTGCAGTCACATCAGATACATATCAGATTTATATCCACATACAGAAGAGGGTCGGATCAGAACCAATCAGAACTGACCTGTTCACACTTAGATGACAAAATCAGATATGAGTCACAGATGGTTAAAACATCAGAACCTGCAGTCTGAACGTAGACTAAGATGAGTCAGAGCCGGCCCAAGGCATAAGTGAACTAAGTACCTGCTCAGGGCTATGCAGCCAGTAGGGGGCCCCCAAGAGCAATCAAAAAAAAAAATTATATTTTGATTTCTTTCATGTATGAGTGATGCTTTCTGTCTGATCAAATATAGATTATTGTAAAAATAACGTAAAAACATTTTAGTGCTGCTGCTGATGTAGGTCTATGATTCTTCTGCTGATATGTCAAAGCTCCGCCCACCATGATGTTCCTCCTGCTGTGAAATGGTCACTGAGCATCTAAAGAGCAGGTAACAATGTCGCGATAAAGGAGATATCCTTCAGGAGCCGAGAAAAGAAAGAGGAAGAGGAGGAAAAAACGCCAAAATAAAGGTCTGTTTGCGTGTCAGGGAAGGTTAATCAAAGAGATTTGTGAAGGTGTGTGAATGATCAACAATCAATAATAGAGGGCCCCAAAACCACATTTTGCTAAAGGGCCCCATTGAGACAGAGGAGGACTAAATCGTCCTGGTTTGAGTTCACAGGAGGGTCTGTGAGGTCCTGGTTGGGTTCACTGAGTCATCTTCGTTTGAAGGAGAAAATAATCATCATTTTAAAATAAAGAGTCAAAGTTCATGAAGTCACGAGTTACACCCTGAGTTTTGTCTGCAGGTTTCCTCTCTGCAGCAGGTCAGCAGGAGTTAAACGCTGCCTGAGAGGCAAAACTCAGGGTTAAACTCTCACAGCCCTCCTCCAGGTTTGAGTTTAACAAAGATTTCAGTGAGGACACACACACTGATACTGAGCTGTGAGGAAGCCCCCACCCACACACAACTGCAAACTGACACACACAACTACACACTGACACACACACTGACACACACACACACAAACCTCCACTAAGGAAACTCACTGTGTGTCCTTGTTCACAGGAAACACACCAACATACTTCAAATACCAGCTACACCTTTTTAACAACAGACACACACTGAACAAAGAAGACCACTGCACACACACACACACACACACACACACACACACACACACACACACACACACACACAGGATACAGGGAGTGCCTGCAGCAGAGGCGAGGGGTGTAGCCTGGAGCTGAGGGGTGGGGGTCTTTCAAAGAGGAAAACTGTGTGTGTGTGTGTGTGTGTGTGTGTGTGTGTGTGTGTGTGTGTGTGTGTGTGTGTGTGTGTGTGTGTGTGTGTTTTAGGACACAGCCTCGAGAGGACACTAAAGGAACTGCAGTTTTTGGGACTCTCTGTGTTGGTTTGGGACAGGCTTAGTCTGATAATCATTCAAACTGATCAGTTATTGATCAGATATTGATGTATTGATGAACTGTTTCAGATCTGTTTAAGAGTCAATGATCACATTCGATCAGACGTTCACGCTCTGAATCAGAGAGAGAAAATAAACTCTGCAGACACCAAACTGACACCGAATTAAACCAGAGAGTAAAAATAACTGCTGTACACACACAAACACACACACACACACACACACACACACACACACACACACACACAAAGGTCAGCAGTGTCCAGTGTGAAGACAAAGGAGGAGGAGGACGTGAGTCACAGCAGCTTCCTCCTCTCGTCGACCTTTTTCCTCCTCCAGAGTCCAGCTGCTCCAAAACCTGAAAACATGAAAACCTGCTGCTGATCTCAGACCAGATCACCTGGATTAATGAAGGTCCACACCTGAACCCTTAATCCAGACCCTTAATCCAGACCTCACACCTACAGATGTCTCTAAACCAAAGATGAAGTATCTGGGAGCTACACTTTAAAAATGACTCAGAGAGACACGGTAAAGTCAGGACCATCAGTTTAGGAGGACACACAGCAGAGGACACTTCTGAGGACACAGCAGAGGACACTTCTGAGGACACATCAGAGGACACGTCTAAGGACACTTCCACAAACCGCAGTGTGCAAACACAGCTACCATCACCTTGACGGCTGTTCCAGTGTGTCATGTGACTGTAAACATAAACGCTAATCATTATGACGATTCATTGATTCATTGATCAGATTATAATAATCAGATTATAATTCATTAATCAGATTATAATAATTGGATTATAATTCACTTATCAGATAATTATTTACTAATCAGGTGATTATTCATCATTCAGATTATAATTTATTAATCATGTTATATTTCATTCATCAGATTATAAAAATCAGATTATAATTCATTAATTAGATAATAATAATTAGATTATAACTTATTAATCAGATTATAATAACCAGATTATAATTCATTAATCAGATTATTGTAATCGGATTATAATTCATAAATCAGATTATAATAATCAAATTATAATTCATTAATCAGATTATTGTAATCAGATTATAATGATCAGATTATAATAATCAAATTATAATTCATTAATCAGATTATAATAATCAGATTATCATTCATTAATCAGATTATAATAATCGGATTATAATCCATTAATCAGATTATAATAATCGGATTATAATCCATTAATCAGATTATAATAATCAAATTATAATTCATTATTCAGATTATAATAATCGGATTATAATAATCAAATTATAATTCATTAATCAGATTATAATAATCAGATTACAATAATCAGATTATAATTCATAAATCAGATTATAATAATCGGATTATAATTCATTAATCAGATTATTTACACAGGGCGGTGGACTGATGTTAGCGTTTTAAAGGTTGATACTAACACAGATATATTCAGAGCAGATCAGCTGACGGCCGTATCATTGTTGTCGTTGTTGTTGTCGTTGTTGTTGTTTTTTGTGACTGACTCTCTGAGCTGATCTTCTCTCCTTTAGGATGTGAACTATGGACCACCACTGAAGAGGAACCCTGGAGAGTCTGCAGACCTCCTCCCTGAGTCCAGATAAAACCTGAACCAATCAGAACAGGGCGCTGAACTAACGGGACACCCACACCCACAGAGCGCAGACTTCACCCAGAACAACCACAGGACAGAGAGCGTGGAGCTCTGCTGCTTCATGTTTATCACAGGGATTCCCACAGACGTGTTCTCAGAGCTGAAGTGAAAGAGCAGAAGTGAAGATGAACCAGCAGACGAGGAAGTCAGCTGTGTTTAAAACAGAAGGTTAGTCACTGTGATCAGTCAGAGAGCGTCCAACATGAGTCAGAGACCAGACCTCATCCAGAACTTCACCTTCTCTATGGGTCACTTCACAGAAACTGAACCTGAAGTCCTCTATCAGGCCAGACTGAGACCACATCTGACTGTCAGGCTCCAGAACCTGGTCTGCTGGGTTCACTTCGGTCTACAGAGGACTCAGGATGAGGACCATGAACCTGGATCGACTTTTTTAAACTAAATTCACCACAGCTGAAATTCAATCATTTATTCAGACACTGTATTAACAAATACAGTCAGGACTTGTATAATAACACACACACACACACACACACACACACACACACACACACACACACACACACACACACACACACTTCTCCCTGTTTTGTGGTTATAATCAGCCCTGTGGATCTGCAGCAGAACAAAAACACAGGATACAGCTGTCCTTCAAACTGCTGTGGAGGAAACACACACACACACACACACACACACACACACACACACACACACACACACACACACACTCTCCTTTGGGATGTCTCTCTGCTAAAGTTCAAAAATACCTGGATCACTTCTCTGTATTTCTCCCTGATGATCTCCTCCTTCAAACTTCAGGATCTCACTGACATGAACCTTCAGAGTCGTCTATCTTCTCTGAAATCATCGTCTGATCGACTCTGTCTGACCAGAATCAGCTGTTCACTCGCTCTCCTCACCAGGATCCATTCATAAAAACTCCTCAGATCAGACCTCTGAGTGTTTCTGTCCCTCAGAGAAGATCAGAGTTTTTCAGAGACAGACATTCAGATGGACACACTCTGAAGATCATGTGAGGATGATGGTAAACCAAACGTGAGGACAGCGCGTGTGTTTGTGGTTCAGACTTGATTTAAAGGGATATTCCGGTGTTAAATTAGTTATTAGGAAACTCTGAATGAGACGTTTCTGCGATGAAGACAAAGATCAGCTGCAGGTGGTTTCTGCAGAGACGTCTAAAGTCACCGTCTCCTGGATCACAGGACAAAGATCTTCATCCTCCAAGTCCAACACCATCAGTCTGGTGATCATCAGCTCTCTAAGACCAGAACCTGCGGCAGAAAAGTCCGGTCCAGTCCAGGGACAGCAGTGATCCTGGTGGATTTGTGATGTCTGCAGATGAGTCTTCAGGTCTGAGACAGACGCTCAGCAGCAGCTTCAGCGTCTTCGCAGCTTCCTGTTTACGAGGTTTAAGGACATAGATCTATGAGTGTAGAAGTTTGAGACGACAGGAACAGCGTCTGTGAGTTCCTGGACCTCCTGGTCTTGGTGACGTCAGGATTGGATGTCCTCAGGAACACGGAGGTCTGAAGGGTCACAGCTGAGGTTCAGGAACAAAGACCAGAGCTAAGCCCCGCCCACTTCTCCCTGAACACCAACACACCCTTTCCTCTCCTCCTCCACCCTTCCCTGTGGAGGCCTCTCCCTCTCAGCTCCATCTTCATCCTCCTCTTCTTCTACGTTTTTTATAAGCTTTAAATTTGACCAATACTGTTATCAATACAGTCCTTTATCAACTCATTAATCAATATTGTAAATATTGATCAGTGAACTCGGCTCCTCTCTGTGTCGACAAACCCTCCAATAATCAGATCAATAATCATCAAATATGGACGACAGCAGGTTCACAACATCTACTCATCAGCTGATCTTCAGCTCCTCCAACAGGAAGTTAGGAAGGTGGGAGATGATTGGATAAGAGAGCTGTCAATCAAAAACACAAACGCCAGCACACACACACACACACACACACACACACAACTCTCTGTGAGCGGCAGAGTCTCCTGGGGGGGGGGGGGTGACCTTCACTGAGGAGAGAGAGGAGGAGGAGGATAGGTGAGGAAGGAGGAGAGGAGGAGGAGAGAGGAGGAGAGAGGAGGAGAGAGGAGGATGGGTGAGGAAGGAGGAGAGGAGGAGGAGAGAGGAGGTAAAAACTCTGTAAAGATAAAAAAAAAAAAGAGAGAAAGTAAAAGTTTAAAAAAGTGACGAAAAGAGAGAAAGTGGAGCGAGAGTAAAAGAGGGGGAGGAGAGAGAGAGAGAGAGAGGGGGTGGGCGATCGAGCAGTATAATAACAGTGGGGCTCTATTGTGATGAACAGAGGCCTGATTGTTCAGAGCTGTGACTGGAACCACACACTGAGCCTCACTGGGAACACTGGGAACGCTGGAGGTTACAGTCGCCGCTGCAGCATGTGAGGAGACGCCAAAACCTCAGGAGGAGACATGTCCACGGACGGCGTGCTGCATTCAAGCGCCATAACGTCTAAAAACATGATGTCTTTGTGCTGCGTTCAGGAACAAAAGTCTGCAGACTGCTCCTTTAAAACCCGCAGACTGTCTCAGAGTGTGTGTGTGTGTGTGTGTGCGTGTGTGTGTGTGTGTGTGAGACCTTCTCAGCTGATCTTAAAAATACGAAATCGAAAAGAAGTCGTAAAAACAGGCGGTTACATCACACCCAAGTTTCTCAAGAGGAAGACGTTTGGGTCCAACTTCCTGTTACTGTACAGGAAAAACACACACACACACACACTCACACACACTCACACACACACAGACACAAACACAGGATGGACTGTGTGTGTGTGTGTGTGTGTGATGTAATCAGCTGATGTTGAATGGATGTGAAAAACAATATAAACACTGTTTCTGCTCCGAGTCGGAGATTTTTCACACCGTCCGACCTTACGCCAGTGACGTCATCAGTGATGTCACCGCAGGCCAAGAGGAAGTACAGTTAGTCACACGGACGCATGAGCAGCTTCAGGAAGACGGACAGAACCAGAGGAGCTCTGCCGAGCGGCACCAGCAGGTCCGAAACTCTGACAGCAGTCTGTGGAGGTCGAAGCTCCGCTCAGTGAGAGACGACGCTCCGGATTTTTCTGGACTGACAGACTCAATCAGACTCAAATGAACGCCGTCTAAACCTGCCGCCGCCACCGCCGCGTCTCATCGTTTCACTGAGTCATTGATAATGAGGTTCACCTGAAGACCAGACTTATTCAGCGTCCATGAGGACTAGAGAAGAACAATCAGAGCTCAAACTCAGACCTTCAGACCTCCTGATGGTGAAAACTATCAAACACCAACTTTTTAATCACACAATCATGTTTTCTAAAAATAAACGTAGTCGGTCTGAGTCCAGGTCTGAGTCCTGGTCTGAGTCCTGGTCTGAGTCCAGGTCTGAGTCCAGGTCTCAGCCCCACCAGTCTCAGACTGAGACCTACGGGTCCCTAACTCGGCTCTGTGGGTCCAGAAACAAACTGAACACAACTCACGGTCAATCAAGGACAGAAACCAGAGACGCACCAGAACATCTTCATCATCATCATCATCATCTTCATCTTTATTTTTTTATTATTATTATTATTATTATTATTATTATTATTATTATCATTTATTATTATTATTATTATTATCATTTATTATTATTATTATTATTATTATCATTTATTATTATTATTATTATTATTATTATTATTATTATTATCATTTATTATTATTATTATTATCATTTATTATTATTATTATTATTATTATTATTATTATTATTATCATTTATTATTATTATTATTATTATCATTTATTATTATTATTATCATTTATTATTATTATTATTATCATTTATTATTATTATTATTATTATTATTATTATTATTATTATTATTATTTATTATTATTATTATTATCATTTATTATTATTATTATCATTATTATTAATAACTTTTTTTTTTGCACTTTTAAAATCTGGTGTTTACAAAGTTCTTTGACAAACAGTCCTACAGCACAGAACATCAGCACATGGAGATAAAAACAGAGGAGGACGAGGAGGAGGAGGAGAAGAGGAGGAGGAGGATAAAATAAGGAGCAGATTTCCTCCTCCTCTCCTCCTCCTCTTCAGGGTTAATGGGATTTATTGTGAAGTTTCTAACAGGAAGTGGAGTTTCCTCTCCACAGGATGTTTGTGTTGCCTGTGAACGCCACGCCTGCTGCTCCCACAGCTCTGAGGTGAAGCGCCGGGACTCTTCATCACCGCCATCATCATCATCATCTTCATCATCTTCATCATGGTCAGCCCTCAGCGCTCTGTCACAGCTGGATCTGACCCGTTTACACCAGTTTCAAATGATTCAAACCAGGACCAGAACCAGAGAAGACCAGATCTAGACTGGCACTAATCCAGAACCTCACCTGAGAAAAAAAGACGAATATAATTCAGAACCAGGTTTGGTCCAGATCCACATCTGGTCTTGACTACTTGTAAACCAGTTCTTAACCATATTGAACCGGGTCCAAATCAGACGTAGATAAGTTAAAACCAGACCCAACTGGAACCAGACTGGATCTCAGGGTTCTACTTATCTAGACCACGTGTAAACCAGGTCCTCCTTAGGTCTAAACCAGGTCTAAACCACATGATGATCCGGTTTAAGACAGACCTGATCCAAACTATCACACCAGGTCTGAAACGGTTCTAAAAAGACCCAGAAACAGATCCAGAACCCAGATTACAAATCCTGAATCAGAGTTTCAATCCCAGACCTGAAATCCGGATCATCTAATCCCAGGATCAGAACCAACAACCTGTTCACACACACACACACACACACACACACACACAGACACACACACACACACACACACACGAACTCAAACACACACACACACAGTCCGGTCCAGTTTGCGCCAAAACCTCTCCATTGCGTCACTTAGTCGGACCCTGATACCGCTCAGAGACCCGCTCAGAGACCCGACCAGAACCCGAACACCCGGACCCCCACAGTCAGGACCCTGAGGACCCTGCAGGATGATCTGCTTCCTGCTGGTCTCTCTGACAGACTCTAGACCAGACGCCCTCCAACACTAAACCAGCAGAGTCTCACCTCTGATCCCGGTCTGGTTCCTGGTCTGATCCGCTCTGGTTCCTGGTCTGATAAAGTTCGGTACCCGCTCTGGTCTCTGGACTCTGCAGGTTCGGTCCCGGTAAATCCAGTCTGAGTCCGGAGCCGCTCACAGCTGCAGTCACTGGGAGTTCTGGGAGGAGAAACTCGGACCTGTGGTCAAGCTAGAAGAAAACCACTGATACAACTTCCGGCTGTACCTTTCAAATTAAAAGCCTCCTTGAGGATCGCTGTGGATAGAGTATTGATGTGTTTGTTTATGTCTGTAAATCCTCATTTCTGTGTTTTCTGGTAATTAAAGATAACCCTCTGTTTGAACTTTTATTTTTAAGGGTTAAATCTGAGAGTGTGGACCCCACTTCCGGTTTGTCTGATTATACATTAAAGTTTATTCAGGGTTTTTCCCGCCTTTTTAAACGGTCATCCTAACTTCCCTTCAGCCATTTTGTCAATAAATGTGAAAATATTATTTTAACTTTAGAAATATTACCGCAGTTTTAACGTTTAGCGGGTGTGAAGGAGCGGCGTCCTCACACACGCACACACGCACGCGCACACACACACACACACACTCTTCCCTCCCTCCAGTGTCTCTAATTACCCTCTAAACAGCTCCACTTTCACTTCTCTGTTGGATCATTGAGTAACTCAGGTTTCACACTCGGACCTCTATCAGTGAATTCAAACATTCACTCACACAGATATTCGTCCCTTCACTTACCTGCCGAAGGTGTGTCCGTTCCCGCCATCACACCGGATCATGTTACCAAATGAGGAAACAGAGCGCGTCATTTCCGGGTGTTAAATAGGTGGGTACGGAGGGTCAAAGTGGTCACATGACGCAAGAAAAATTAATTCTCTTGTTGTTTGTCATGAATCCCTAAAAATTAAAGCTCCACTGATTTGAGTAAAAACTAAAGTTAAAATGGTAAAAACTCACAGAAAAGGGTCTGAAGTTTAAACAGGTTTAAATTTAAATAAAATGTGTTTTTTTTTCTAAACTGGGAGGGGCTAAGGGGGTTAATAAGAAGTCTGCTTCAGTCTTCCTGTAAGTCTGGAGTTTGTTTTATGGAAACTGACAAACTGACGTTTTTTATTGCTGCTGTTTCTGTGTTTGTTTCTCGAGTTATCGTCGATCTCCTGCCTTGTTGGTATTTTCTTCTTTGCCTTGTATATTTTGTAAATAGTATTTGACCATTTTTTTGCACTTTTGTAAATATTTTTGCCCTGCACCCTGGAAGACCGGCTGTAAATAAATATCACCATCACTGTGTTTTCTGCTGCGCCTGTTTTTACTCTGTACTGTGATTGTTTGACTGTATTTATTCTGGACAACTTGGTTCCACCTCCAGCGGATGCTGTTGTGATTTCAGTATCATGGCCAAGCGACATGGACAGTTTAATCTGAGGGATTATGTAATATAATATAATATAATATGATATAACATAATATAATATGATATAATATAATAATTATCTTTATACACAGTTGGTTTCCCACCATGTTCACTGTCATCAGAGAAAAATATCTGTCCCCCACAATAAAATCCACCATCAACCCTGATTTTTGGTCTGCTGTTCTCCTCTACGGAAGCTCTGAGCAGACATGCTGGTGTGCATTAATGGAGATTTTGCAAGAGAACTTCGTGTTTGTGAATGAGGCTAAAAAAGTTGGCAATACTGATTATGAAGCTTTGAAATGATCCTGAACTGTCAGACTGACTCATATCAGTAACTGATAAACGTCAATAATCAATAAAACTTATAAAACAGAGTCAGTTTAACAGTCTGAGTGTGATCACTAAAATACAAACATGTTCCTGAGGTGGTTATGTTAACGATCGTTTATATGTTGGTCTGAAAAACTAAAGATCATTGACTTTAAACTGCAGACTGTGAAATACAAATTGAGCTTTTATTGTGAAAGGGAACAGGATATAGTAAAAGTCCCCCTCACTAACTTTTCTCTGTTCCTCTTTTTTTAGTGTTTGATTAATAATGTGTTGGATTATTTGAGGTCTCCTCCACAGACTGATCTGATGATCTGAAGCAGAGTTCAGGGATTAAAACCTGCTGCTGCTGCTGCTGAGCTGTTCAGATTACAGATTAAAACAGCTGCTGCCTCAAATTACACAAAACAAACCGGAGTTTCATTTAGTGAGAAACTGCAGGAGTTTCAGTCAGACAGACATGTTCATCAGGGAACCGTCATCTCATCATCTCATACTGCGGGAACAGAAACTACAGAGTACAGCTACTGTAAAAATACAGGTGAGAGATCCTCAGTACAGAGGAAAACCAGAGACTGAATATAAATATTTATATATATATATATATACATATATGTGTATATATATATATATATATATATATATACATATATGTGTATATATATATATATATACACATATATGTATATATATATATATACATATATGTGTATATATATATATATATATATATATATAGATATATATATAGATATACATATATATATAAAATATAAATATAAATATACATATATGTATATATATACATATATATATATATAAATATACATATATGTATATATACATATATGTATATATACATATATGTATATATACATATATATATTATATATATGTATATATATATATATATACATATATGTATATATATACATATATATATATATATACATATATATATATATATATATATGTATATATACAGTCTATGGTAAAAATAAATAAATAAATAAAACAGAGTCAATAGTACAGAGGTGTTTCATTGCTCATTACTAGCGTTACTAGGGAATGACGTTACACCCGAGTTGACGGCGGTCCAGTAAACAAGACGGAAAACTAAGATTGACGCCTACAGTTACCCGATGTTAGCTGTTGTTTACAATTGTCAGTTGTTGTCAGTTGTTGTCAGCGGTTGTAAATAAAGCATAATACAGTATTTTATTCTGAAAGATGCTGGTCAGTACGACATAAACCACTTATTTAATTTCACTAAAACAAAACAGAAGAGCTGATAATTAAAACATAACGAGAGTTTTCACTGTTACTCGTTACTGATGATGCACTGCGCTGCCATATTGAATTATGACGTCGACGTCAAGTCAGGGTTGGCGAGGATCGTCCGACTTTCAGAGTCGGAAATCCGACTTCAGGGGGGCGTTCCAGATGATTTTCCGACTTGGAGCGCGGAAATCCCGATTTCCAAGTACAACTGGAACGCAGCATTAGTCACGCCATTACGTAACACCGCTACTTTTGCTACAATCGAGTTAAGTCGGAACTCAGATGTCGGAGCTGAAAATGACGTCACATCTGAATTCCCGGCGTTTCAGTTACAAAGTCGGAAAAAAGCAAAATCGGAGAAACAAGATGGCGACATCTACGAAAGTTACTTTAGCGCTTACCTTACATTCAGACAAAGCAAAAATAACTAAAATAAGGCCAAAGTAACTTTCAGTCGCCATGTTAAGATGCTGAGGAGGAGGAGGAGGAGGAGGAGGAGAAGAGGAAGAGGAGGAGAGGAAAAGGAGGATCCTCATGTCTTAAATCTGAAGGCCTCTGTTTCCCTCTCAGGTCGATGGTTTCTGGTTTCTGCTCTCTGAGTGGACAGCGGTGAGGAAGTCCTCGGCGAACACTGCGTCCTGTAAGAAGCTGCCGTTTCCTCCTCGCTGCCCAAACAACAATCAGCGGCGTGCAGACAGGAAACAGGAAACAGGAAGAGCCTGAGACAATAAAGTGGCGCAGAGAGGACCCGGAGCTCAGCTGCATTTTTTTGGCACAAAGAAGAAGAAAAAAAAGGAGGACGCAGTTTTCCTTATCAGAGCGGGAAGGTCAGGAGGACTCTGCAACACCTCCAGAGGCCCTGGTTTTAGGGGGGCGGGGCTAATATGAGTTCTGTTTCTGTGATGATCAATGATCGATCCATCTGAAGGTGTTTTAGATTATTTTAGTCATGAAATAATCAAATCATTAGATTTTCTTTTATTCTCTGAAATATCGACCTGTTTTATATCCAGAAGCTTGAACTGAAATTTAAAGTCTCTTTATTTTCTGTTCATATAATTTTAAAATTACTCTCTGTTTCTTTAAGAAGGTTGTCAAATAAAAGTCTCTGTATAAATCAGCTCCTCTCTCATTATCAGCCTTCATGTTGATCATCAATAAACTGGTATCAATCGATCAGTTTAATGGAAGTGATTCAGCTGGATGGTTCCTCCTGATTCTGAGCAGAACCATCAGAACTTTAAATCGGACCTGATGATGAGGTGAAGGAATATTAAATGAACATGAAGTCTGTTATCAATTAATGAACGGTGTGTTTAACAGGAATCTGAATATGATCAAATGTTCTGAACGGACCGGATCAGGTCCAAACTGAAGAAGAGTAGAAACGTGTTCAGTGACGGGAAAACATCAACTTTACTGAAATCAATACAGCAGGTGAACAGAACAAAGATTGTCTCTGTGAAAAGATGCTCCACTCCTCAGAGGTTCAGTCTGCAGCAGATCTGGATCAGAACCAACCAGAACCGGTCCACTGATCTGCTGCTTTGGTGTTTTTATCTCAGCCTGAGATGATTTTAAAGAGTCTTTATGATCAGACGGTTGGTTCTCTCAGACTGTAGTGACGTTTCTGTCCACTGGGGGGCGATGCAGACACACACACACACACACACACACACACACACAGTCTCATCTGACATTATAACACCATCATCAGTGATCACAGAGGAGAGGAGGGTGGAGGTTACAGAGTTTTTACTTCCTCGTTCTCTCTGTCGTCTTTGACGTTTCGGTGATTAAATCTGTTATTTTTCTCTCTCTGCAGTAAAAGTTCAGACTCATGATCAGGTTTCCATCAGCCTGGACTTTAATCTGCAGACTGAGCCTTTAAATCTGGATTACTGTCGGACCAAAACAGACTACAGGAGGTTCACGGGTCTTTGTGTTCAGCAGCAGGTACAGCCGCAATGATGTCACACACCTAAGCTCCGCCCCCACAGGTGATCCCACTCATGTTACCTGATCAGATCAGGTAAAAACAGACGCTGTCGAATAACAGAGACCTTCAGATGATCCCAAACCTCACTCAGACAACAGGAGAAGAGTCCTGCTGAGGAACTGGACTGATGCGGTCCTGACTGAACACATTTGGAAAAGAGACCCTGAACTGTGGATCATCTAAAATCCTCGATCAGGGACGAGATTTGACTGTCAGACTCCAGAACCTGGTCTGCCGGGTTCACAAAGTCCTACATGCTGCTTTTGTCTTTTTGTCTTTGCAGCGTTTTGATCCGCAGAATAATAATTGATCTGTTTGTTGTTTCTCCAGATCCTGAAACCATCAGAACTCATCGGATCAGATCGGATAAATTTAGGAAAACTCAGAGTTCAGATGAGAAAAAGTCAAAGAAATTTAATTAAATCCGTTTTTCTTTTTTTCAGATCAAACATCACATGTTATGTCTTTTTATTAATTTATTTTTCTGTTTAGTTTCAGGTTTTATCGTTACAGTCAGATCTGATGTCATCGTCAAAATAAAGTCTGATCAGTTTAACTCTGACCTGATCAGGATTCAGGCAGGATGACAGAATCAAATGGAAGAAATATTCCAACAACACCGTTACCATGACGATCACATCCTCATTTTAAATATTTTGCTCTTGTATCGTCACGGTAACAGAGCAGATGAAGTAAACATGATGGTTGTCTAAAGATGGATGAATTTTTCTTCATTAAATGTTTCAAACATTCAATATTTGATTTAAAGCAGCTGTCAGGATCTTTCATCCTTATGAGTTTTGGCGCCCCCCTGTGGACAAAGTAAGTAGTGCATGCTCCTGTAGTCTGGATTTGGTCATCTTTAAAAGTCTGTTTCCAGTTTTTATTCAAAAGAAGAGGAAAAAAAAACAATCTGGATTATCTGATCCTGGATAGTGAAACTAGATTAACAAATCTGGATTATTCTGGATTATTCTGGTCTCAGTTAAACGGAGCCACAGTGCTTTTACGGCTCATTTCCAGGTTCAGTACGGTGAGGTACAGCATGCAGCTCTTTTCATTTCCTCTGTCAAAGGTTCTGAAATAACGGACCTTTCTGTCGGGGTACCGGGCCAACCGTTTTACTTTGAAAGTACATTCAGGAAGTACATTCACAGGGTGTATTTCATGCTTCTGACATAAACAGGAAGAACCAGGTGAGACGTGCTGCTCATGCCAGCAGTCTGAACGCTGTGACTGCTGAAATACACGCCAAGTCACGCCACTCCGAGGGCGAAGCGTACCAAACCAGAAAAAAAAACGACTGGAGGACCGGACATGAGCCGCCTGAGCCGGTCCAAACCTGATTTGAGGGGAAGGAGGGTCAAACAGGCTTTCAAAGAAGAGGTCAATAAGAGACAAGACCAATCAGGGGACTCGGACAGATCAATGCAGGCGAGCCCTCGCCATTCAAACAGACAAACAAACAGATGGACAAACAAACAAAGAAACAGACAAATAAATAAACAAACAAACAAACAAACATTCAAACAGACAAACAAACAAACAAACAAACAGACAAACAAACAGACAGACAAACAAACAAACAAACAAACAGACAAACAGACAAACAAACAAACAAAAACAAATAAACAAACAAACAGACAAACAAACAAACAAACAGACAAACAAACAAACAGACAAACATTCAGACAAACAAACAAACAAACAGACAAACAAACAAACAGACAAACAAACAAACAAAAACAAATAAACAAACAAACAGACAAACAAACAGACAAACAAACAAACAGACAAACAAACAGACAAACAAACAAACAAACAGACAGACAAACAAACAAACAGACAAACAAACAAACAAACAAAAACAAATAAACAAACAAACAGACAAACAAACAAACAAAAACAAATAAACAAACAAACAAACAGACAGACAGACAAACAAACAAACAGACAAACAAACAAACAAACAAAAACAAATAAACAAACAAACAAACAGACAAACAAACAAACAAAAACAAATAAACAAACAAACAAACAGACAAACAAACAAACAGACAAACAAACAAACAAAAACAAATAAACAAACAAACAGACAAATAAACAGACAAACAGACAGACATTCAACTAAAGAAACAATCAAACAAAGAAACAAACAATCAAAGGAGAATTAAAGCGACAGATTCGTGTTTTTAAAGTCCCTAAAGTGAGTTTAAGTCTCTTCGTCGTCACTTTGCTGCTTCTCCTCGCTCAGACCGCTCTCATCGATGTTCTCCAGAGAGTCGGCGCGCTGCACCGTCAGCTCCGACACGTTGATGCACGGCAGCGTGTTCTGCTCCGGAAACATCCACGGCTTCAGGTGAGGGGTGTGCTTCCTCTTCCACTCAGGGTACTTCACAGACGCTTTGTAGATCTTCCTCATGGCCTGAGAGGACGGAGAGGACAGGGACGGAGAGGACGGAGAGGACAAGGACGGAGAGGACAAGGTGAGACATCATTCAACGAGGAACTGGAAATTATAGATGCTGCGTCCTCAGTTTTAAACAAGATCTCCAGGTTTAGGAGCAACATCTGTGTCCAAGACTTTTTCAGGAAAGACCTTCAGATGATCCCAAACCTCATTCAGACAACAGGAGAAGAGTCCTGCTGAGGAACTGGGGAACCTGGTCTGCTGGGTTTCACTAAGGTCTACATGCTGCTTTTGTCTTTTTGTCTTTGCAGCGTTTTTATCTGCAGAAAAATCGCTTAAACCCATAAAATCCAGGTGTCCCGCTCTTATAGACTCGGGGTCAAAGTTTGTCTGAGTTTTAAAGTTCAGATTTTTTTACCTTTGGAGCCACAAACTGAGAGACTCTGTTCACCACCCACTTCGGTAACGAACCTGCAGAGAAAATATTCAGAAACAGAAGAAATTCAGTCGAATTATTTTATTACAATCATGATAGAAGAAGAAAAGGTAAAGTGTGTCCGTCCTGTGCCCCCACCATACCTCGGGGGTCCACCTGGGTCAGGTAGTACAGGGTGGAGCAGTTTGCTCCGTTGGACTGGATCAGGTACCCGGTCAGCAGGGACACGGCTCTGACGTAATCCTTCTTGGGAGGGTGTTGCTGAAGAGACAGACAGAGGTTTGAGTTTTCATGACTCTAAAATAACGAAGACTGAGATCTTCACCTGCCTTAACCCTGATGGACCGACTCTGAAGGTGGACTTAAAGGGATATTCCAACGTAAAATTAATTCAGGGTCAAACCCACCGTAACACAGAGTTAGACCCCCCCTCCAGAGATGAATGTTGTCGACCGCTTCCTTCTCTAGTTATACCAACTTTAGTAACAACCGCAGGATAGAAATACATGAACTCACCTACTCTCTTCCAGCAGACGCTTGTTTGTAGAGAGACCTCAGGCCAGTCCATTAGGGACTACAGCGGGGTGCCGCAGCTCAAGGAAGAACATTTATGATAATTTCTTCATGGAAATACAATCAGACCGAGACGCTAAGACAGAAGAACTACTGCGTCTGTAAAATGATTAATATGGTGATTATTACTTCAAGGAAATGATAAAGAAATGATCATAAATGTTCTTCCTTGAGCTGCGGCACCCCGCTGTAGTCCCTAATGGACTGGCCTGAAGTCTCTCTACAAACAAGCGTCTGCTGGAAGAGAGTAGGTGAGTTGTGTTTAGTCTCTTTGCTAAAGAAATGAGTCAAAGTTAAAAAGATGTTTGGTGTCTAGTACTATGTCTGGGACCCTATATGTACTAACCTCAGTAGAACATGATGTAGCTCTGTTCAGTAACAGAACCTCATTGGAAAATTATCTGATTTAAATTTACTGTGCTCTTGTTCAAATATTTTAACTCGACAGCACATAAATTCATACCTGTTAACAAAATCATGATTTTATTGATAATTCGGCTCAATAAAAACACCTTCACCTTTTCATTTTACTACAGTAGAAGTTTATTGGCCCAGCTTATAGACTACTGAAGTGGAGAAACGCCCTGCTTAAATTTGTTTTCTTAGGAGTTAGAACAACTCTGAATATAGTACTATGTCTGTGACCCTATATGTCCTGTTGATGAAGTTAGGTGCTGTTCTGAGCATTATTTGTGGCTATAGAGTGGCATTTTGGTTGAGGGCGTGGCTCTCTGTATTTCTATCCTGCGGTCGTTACTAAAGTTGGTATAACTAGAGAAGCAAGCGGTCGACAACATTCATCTCTGGAGGGGGGGTCTAACTCGGTGTTATGGTGGGTTTGACCCTGAATTAGTTTTACAGCAGAATATCCCTTTAAAGACATCAGAGCTGAAGCTGACCGGGTGTTTGACGGAGTAGTTGATGATCAGGTAGTCGTTGCCCAGAGGAAGCCAAGATCTCATGGTCACAAAGTCTCTGTTCTTGAGCGGACTCGGACACTTCCCTTCAAAGACAGGAAGTCATTTAGGACACACAGAGACTTCATCTTATTAAACTGGTCCATACGCAGAGCTGGACTTACAGGAGTAATATCCGATGTCTGCGTTGGCGGTCAGCCGGGCGATGTCGTATGTGTCGATCATGTTGGTGTCCCACTTCCTGCGGTAGCTGGTGTCATGGAGGACATCGTACAGAGTCTCTGCTGTCACGTCCTTACACACTATCCTCATCTGAGACACAAACAGAGACAGAGAGGCGGGGACAAAGTCACAGACAAAAAACAGGAAGTCACAAAGCAGTGGTCCTGAAAGGGTTAAAGTGTGAACACAGATCATCCTCATCAGATCAGGAACCTGAAGACCACCTGCACTTTATAAAAGGTTCAGGGTTTTAGTTTCTATGAGCTCGAACAGGCCAGAATAAATAAAAGGTCAAAACAATCAAACAGTTTAACAGTCCAAACTGTTTCTCTTGTTTTTAAATTATTTTTCAAGTTCTTTTTATTATTTATATGTTTTTCATTTTTTTCATGTTTTTTATTATTTTTCTCATTTTTCATGATTTTTCATGTTTTATCCTTTATTTTCATGTTATGTTATATTTCTCACATTTTTCAGTATTTTTCATTAATTTTCATGTTTTTCATTATTTTCATGTTTTTTTATAATTTTTCCAAGTTTTTCATTATTTCTGATTTGTCATAATTTTCCAAATTTTAAATTATTTTTCATGTTTTCTATTATTTCTCATGTTCTAATCATGTTAATATTTTTAGCTTTTTTCATGTTTTTATGATTTTCTGTTTTTCATATTTTTTCATTTTTTAATCATTTTTTCATGATTTCCTTTTTTCTCATATTTTTAATTTTTTCTCATATTTTTCATTTTTTCTCATGTTTTTCATTATTTTCCCTCTTTTCCAGTATTTCTCACGTTATTTTTTAGGTTATTTTTGCTGATATTTAGATTTTCATGGTGTCTGTGGGGTTTTAAATCAGCTGCTGGAGCGTTGGAGGGTCTCAGAGGAGAAACTCTGGAGCATTCAGAGTTATAAATGCAGCCGTGTGGGATGTGTTGTGTAACATCTGAAGCTCAAGGTCTGACAAACAGAGAGGAGAGGATCTGCAGCAGAACTCAGGGTGTTTTTTTTACTCTCAGCTCTGTTTGGACCCATGAGGAGGTTCATAAATCTGGTCGGTCTGGGTCTGAATTCTTCTCCCATCAGACTTCGACTTTCTTTATCATCACTGCACAGAAAAAAACACAGCAGTGATTCCTCTCTACATCCAAATATCGTTGCTCAGCTTCCATATCACAGCATCATGTTCCTAAACACGAGTTTTCAGAGACGACAGGCCTGACAAAAGTCGTCATCCTTTCGTAAATGGACTGAAACTTTACGAAGGAACAGTGAGTGCTGCAGGAAGTTCATGATCACATAGATGTTCTTTTTTAATCACTAAATCTGACGACAGCTCATTTAAAACTACAACCACACTAAAGTCATTCAGTCATGTGATCAGCAGGAGGATGAGGTCAGGGGTTGATCACTCATGGATCAATAAATCAATCATCTCTGATGTGGAGGATTCAGGACCAACAGAAGATTCAAACAAACTTTAGGACTCGCTGAAAGTCGGGAACTTTAGTTTTTTTCTGGAAGATGCTGAGAGAATCAAGTCTGCAGAGAGACCTCCAACATCATGGACTCAGAGGACAGTCTGGACTCTAAGGAGATCCTGGTCTGGTTTTTTCTGCTGCCTCTTTTTAGAGTTTTTTGTTGAAGTATTTCTGAAAGTTGTCAGTGTCCTCTCGTCTGTTTTACTCCTTCCTGAAACATCTGAGCAGCTTCTCCTCCAGAGTTCAGCTCAGCTCTGTCGTGTTCATCTCTCTGTCTGCGCAGACGGGTTGAAACAGAGCCGTCTCTCTCTCTCTCTCTCTCTCTCTCTCTCTCTCTCTCTGTCAGTGTTGAGCAGAGTTATGGACGTCATGTGAGACGAGCTCTTACAGTAAGACGTCACTTTTTTCCACTGCTGTAATCTCACAGGAGCGTGGGTCTCGGCTGAGCGGCGGTCATCAGATATTGTGCGGGTCAGAGCTGAAAAACGCTCCGTGTAACTCAATCAGCAGGGCTCTGCTGCGGCGTGAATCATTCATAAAGTCCTGAGCGTCTTTGTGTGTCCGTCACTCTGCGGTGAACTCCACATCTGCTGCTTCCTGACAGTCTCAGACCTCGGCTCACAGCTCTGACTTCACACACTTATAATCAAAGACCAGGTTGTAGATCAGGGAGATTATTTACTGATGGATATCTTTAACTCGGCTGTCATCGTTCAGGTCTGAAACTTTCACTAAAGAGTCAAAATCAGAGTCCAACAGCTTTAAAGTCGACTCAAAGTATGGGGTGCCGTTTGTAAAGCAGCCCATTATAAAAACAACAGCAAGATTTGGTCACATTTAGCTTCAAACAGCATTTAAAAAAGTGATGTGAACTTTCGGCAGTCATTTTTTTGCACATTTACAACAACATTTAAATACTAAAACTAAATGTTAAATGTTAAATCTAAATGCTAAATATAAATGTTAAATATATATGTTAAATCTAAATGTTAAATATAAATCTAAATGTTAAATATAAATCTAAATGTTAAATATAAATCTAAATGTTAAATATAAATCTAAATGTTAAATGTTAAATGTTAAATGTTAAATCTAAATGTGTTGGGCGAAACTAAATATTTAGCTAATATGCAAATTCACGGTCGGAAACCGGAAGTGCCAAAATAAAAGCTCCAGAAGGTCATATTGATGATTCTTGTGTCGAAGAAAACGAATTAAAACCAAAACAATTACTTGGGGTGACGTTTCGTGTTAATAACTACCTACAACTACATACCTACCTACCTACTAACTGCTCCTTTGTGGCGGACAGCAGCAGTATCATGAGTGCACCTGCATGTGTGTGTGCGTGTGTTCGTATAGTGTCCGCGCCACACGGAGAAGCGACACTGTAAACTCGAGTCTTTCTAATAAAGTTTTTGTTGTTGCTGTCGCTATTGTACGTAGTTATTAACACGAAACGTCACCCCAAGTAATTGTTCCCCCCTTAAATTGGTTTTAATTCGTTTTCTTCGACACAAGAATCATCAATATGACCTTCTGGAGCTTTTATTTTGGCACTTCCGGTTTCCGACCGTGAATTTGCATATTAGCTAAATATTTAGTTTCGCCCAACACATTTAGATTTAACATTTAACATTTAGTTTTAGTATTTAAATGTTGTTGTAAATGTGCAAAAAAATGACTGCCGAAAATTCACATCACTTTTTTAAGTGCTGTTTGAAGCTAAATGTGACCAAATCTTGCTGTTGTTTTTATAATGGGCTGCTTTACAAACGGCACCCCATATCAAAGTCTGTCTGATCCACGTTCTGCTGATTTACCCCAAACTTCCGACTCATCCTGATCGTCTCCTAAAAGGTCGTATCCTCCGATCGTAGCTGATCGTAACCATTCAAGTTAACGTGTCAATTTACACCGACTTCTTTCCGTTCCTCTGAGGATCGCCGGACTCCTCAGCTGGATGGACGCAGATGTTGCTCCTAAATCTGGAGATGTTGTCGAAAACTGAGGATGCAGCATCCAACTCCTCGTTGAAAGGAGTCTTAGATTTTGATTCTGATCCTCAGAGGAACGGAAAGAAGTCGGTGTAAATCGACACGTTAACTTGAATGGTTACGATCAGCTACGATCGGAGGATACGACCTTTTAGGAGACCATCAGGATGAAGGTGGAGGTCGGGGGTCAGGCTCCGCCCTCTCCAAACTCCATCTTCGGCGTAGATATAGATTTGTGAAACAGTCTATCTTCTAGAACATGAAAACTAATTATTGAAAGTTTCCAAACAGACAAAAAAAACAAAAACGCGTTCATGTGAGAAAAGTGGAACGACTTCCTGTCCTGCAATCTGTGCACTGGTGGAGAAGCTGGTGAGAACATCTTGACGACCTCGAACCGTCAGGATAACAACAACAACAACAACAGCTGATTGAAGCGGCGTCAGAGTCTGTCTGTCAGAACGGCTCAGTTCACGAACACAGAGGGTCAACAGGCTGAAGGGAAACACTCTGACCAATCAGAGTCAAGTATTCAGGTGACCCTGCCTCAGCCAATCACGTTAAAGTACCATGACTGTGATGTAAGTGGACTTTCCTTCAGTTCCGCTGGACCCGGACTGAGGTTCAGGTCAGGAACTAAACTCAGTACCCGTCCTCAGGTCCTGATCAGATATTTTCTTCTTCTGATCGGAGACGCCGTCCGCTCACAGGAGACCTGAATTATTCAGGAGGGAATAATTACAGCGCTTCAATAATTAACACACACAGGAGCCTTCATCCCCTCATCATCATCATCATCATCATCATCACCTCTGAATCAGTGTGTGTGTGTGTGTGTGTGTGTGTTAGGTAACACACTCTCTGCTGTGGTTCACTTCCTGTGGTCAGCCCGGGGTCAGGAGACACAGCTGAGAGGAGCTTCAGGTCAGCTGATCTTCTCCTCCTCCGTCTGCTCCTCCCTCTGTTCTTCCTCCTCCTCTGTTCCTCCCCCTCCTCCTCCTCCTCAGTCATGTCTGAACTTAAAGGGATAGTTCCTGTTGTTCAGCTGGTTTACAGTCCGGTACTCGTTCAGAAACACACAGTATGTTAGAAACCTGTCAGTCCAGGTCCAGGTCTGAGCTGCTCCACAGAGGCTGAGCGAACACAAACTCCTCCTCCACACCTGTCCTCACTCTGGTTGTCGGTTTGACTCCTGACCCCGCCTCTCTCAGGCCGTCTTATCAAAGTCTAAAATATGCAGCTGCTGCTCTGACCGTGTAAAACAATACTAAATAAAGAGATAATATTCAAACATGGAAATAAAACTCTGACTGTTAGCAGACATCATCTTATATCTACAGACGGGTCGGTGGGCGGGGTTTCCTACTACCTTACTCTCAGGTGTTCAGTATCAGTAACCAGGTGATCTACCCTGGATTTAACCCTGAAGTGACCTTGATAACTGTTTTGTCGTTCACGCCCTGAAGTCTGGAAGAAACTTGGAAACGTCAAAATGAGGCCGACAGACTGTGACCTGCTGCTGAAACATCATCAGAGCTTCACAGAGAAGGAAACTGGAGGCCAGTCTGCAGACTGGAGCTGTGAAGTGGACCTGAGGAGGTTCAGGTCTCAGTACCTCTACTGGACCGAATCCTGGACGCCTCTCCTCCTCCTGCTCAGGTTTCAGAGTCAGACTCTCCTTTCCGCTCTGAATTTTTCAGCACGCTGACGGCAGGCGGCGGTTTGTTTTCCTCTGCAGGAGGCGACACTGAAGAGCGATCACATCAGCCTCCGAACCTCTGATCAGCTGTTAGTAACCTTTGATCAGCTGTTAATGATCTGAGTCTGTTTACCAACTTTGATCAGCTGTTAATAACCTCTGATCAGCTGTTAGTAACCTTTGATCAGCTGATAACAACCTCTGATCAGCTTTTAATAACCTCTGATCAGCTGTTAATGATCTGAGTCTGTTTACCAACTTTGATCAGCTGTTAATAACATCTGATCAGCTGATTAAATATCATGATCAGCTGTTAATAACCTCTGATCAGCGGTTAGTAACCTTTGATCAGCTGATAATAACCTCTGATCAGCGGTTAATGATCTGAGTCTGTTTACCAACTTTGATCAGCTGTTAATGACCTCTGATCAGCTGATTAAATATCATGATCAGCTGTTAAAATATTCTGATCAGCTGCTAGTAACCTCTGATCAGCTGATAACAACCTCTGATCAGCTTTTAATGACTTCTGATCAGCTGTTAATGATCTGAGTCTGTTTACCAACTTTGATCAGCTGTTAATAACCTCTGATCAGCTGATTAAATATCATGATCAGCTGTTAAAATATTCTGATCAGCTGTAAATAACCTCTGATCAGCAGTTAATGATCTGATCAGCTGATTAAATATCATGATCAGCTGTTAAAATATTCTGATCAACTGTTAATAACCTCTGATCAGCTATTAATGAACCTCTGATCAGCTGTTAATGATCTGATCAGCTGTTTCGATATTCTGATCAGCTGTTTCGATATTCTGATCAGCTGTTTGTCATGGCGGTGGATCTGAAGATCAGGGTACCGACCCGATAACCTCTCAGATTCACAGCTGATCTGTTGCGGTGTGTTTCCTCCTGGCCTCTGTCAGCTGTTTTTCTAACAGCAGCTGGTATTGATAACTGTTGCTATGGTGACCAGTTCAAAATACATCAGAAGAAGAAGCAGCAGACGATGTTTTCAGGACTGATTGATCCTCCGATCATCGGTTTAATTTCAGGTTTTATCGATAAATCCGTGCTGCTCCTCTAACTTTCAGCTCCACACTGAAGATCGTCAACAGTCAGGAAATGATCAACAATCTTGAATCCTATTGGTCAGTTTCCCATAACAACAGAGTGTTATTGTTCAACAGCAGGGTTAGCGGAGGCGAGGACAGAGTATTGTCTTCAGCCTGTTGACACTGTGGCATGTTTGACGGTTCAGGTAGGACACAGTGTCGCGCTCGCCTGAGCCCGGAGCTGATTTATAGATTTATTTATTCATTTCTGTTTTCTTGTTCTTTGATAGTTTTATTTGTTTTTATGTCTCAGTGTACAGCACTTTGGACACCCCCGTGGTTATTTTAACTGTGCTATAGAAATAAAGTTGATTGATTGATTGATTGATTGAACTTTAAATATGAAAATAAAAATGTCTTCAGATTAAAAATTAAATTCAGACTTAGATCATCGAACATCTCTGAGTTTTATTTGATCTTATTTAAACTTTACTCTTCTTACTTCAGTTTGTTCTTTATTATCTTTAGAGTTTTTTTATTTAATGAAACTAAAAGTGTTTCAGAGAAGGTCCTGGTCCAGAAGGTTCTGGTCCAGAAGGTTCTGGTCCAGAAGGTCCTGGTCCAGAAGGTTCTGAAACAGTTTAATTCTTAGATGAACTAAAATCAGAGGAAAGCAGAAAATCCCTCAGGACTGGCTGTAAACTCTCAACTCTAAGTGTCGAATATAACCCATCTGATTACTTGATCGGGAATTAACTAATCGATTGATTAACCGATCATCCGGATCGGACGTGTTTTCACTTTGTTGAGGTTGAAGTTTGACTGAGAATAAACTCGAATCTTTACTTTCATTGACAAAAATCGACTCTCTCAGAAACATGTCCGACTCGCTCCGATTAATCGATAATTTTGAAAACCTGTTCTCAGTGTGTTTCTGCTGCAGGCGGGTGGACCTCGTGTCTGATCGATGACCTGATCGGGTCTTAAAGAGGTCTGGTCTCCTTACCTTGAGTTTCTGGACGCTCTTGCTCTCCTCCTCTCGGCACCACACCGTCACCCCCCCCTTACTGTACCGGCTGATCCATCCGTCCGGATTCAGACACTGATCCTTGAACGACGAGAAGTCCGAGTCGTCCGGGATCTGGACCGGCATCTCCGCTCCGAACCGGAGTGTGGGCTTCAAAAAGAGAAGAAGAAGAAGAAGAAGAGGAGGAGGAGGAAGAGATGTAGTCCAGGTTTACATCAGTCTGCAGTCTCACAGCTGCTGGTCTGAACTGGGTCTGATGGTGGACCTGGTCCCACAGCTGCAGGTTTAAACTGGTTCGAAGTGATCCGAGTCCCGAACCTGAAAGACTGTAAAGAGTTTGAAGGCTGGATCGGATCAGAGACTGTGTGGACCCGGTCTGCTGCAGGTCTGATCTGCAGACTGAAGATCTGCTGCTGCGCTCATCACTGCAAAGATAGGACAGACAGACAGAGGTCTCACTCTGAGCACATATTCAGGGAACAAACTCAGAGCATGAAGTCAGGGTCCTCAAACACAACAGCAAACACACACCTCTGCTGACTGTCTGCAGATGAAGCTGCTGCTCTTCTCCTCTTATTGATCCACTCTGACTGAAGTCTCTGTTTTTAAACTCTGATCCGATAATTTGAGTTTAACATTAAAAATCTATATATACTTAATTAGCCTGACAGGTAAAGGTAACATGCTGGAAATCAACCAGTGTGCCGATTATGTCATATATAAATATATAACATTGTGTTGACTGCAGTGTAATTAGAGATTAAATCAATAGTAGTCCGATCGATCGGTGATCGAATAATCGCTCAGAGGTTAATTTTTTTAACTGTTGTTCTCTCAGTAAAGAGTCACTGCGCCTGTTTTTGAGTTAGTAACAGAGTGACTCATCTTATCAATAGACCATCTTTGTCACCATTCTCTGCGTTGCTGCCTTCAGGTGCTCCTGTAGAAATAACCATGAGGACGCAGAGAGCAGCAGAGGTCGTTAACAAACTTTGATTAAACTTTAATAAACTTTAATAAACTTTAAAATGACTAAAATTATTCTGTGATTCTCAGACAGGAACAGAGCGATCAAACATCTGAGACACAGCAGCTGTTTTTACTGAAACTTTGAGGAGTCCTCCGATTTCAGAGTCCTCCTGAAAGCCTCAGCTGCTGTAAGTGATACCTGCGGTTCAGGTGGAGCAGTGGGCGGAGCCTGTAGGACATATCCGGTGTCAGCACCTGTTTGTTTCCATCCCTCAGACTCTGATGATCTCAGTCTGGAGAGGAGAAGTTTCCAGAAACAGAGGGAGACACTCAGACCTCCAAAGGTCACCTGACAGGTGTCTCTGTGAGTTTATGAAGGTTTCGGACAGGTGAGGACACCTGTGCACAAACTTTCACCTGTTTTTGTTGCTGAAATCATATTTGTGAAGCAGCAGTGGGGGTGAGGGGGCTTTAGTGCCATCTAGTGTTGAAGTTCCAGATTGAATCCAGCTGAGAAGAGACACTAAAATGAGCAGGATATGACCCTCACAGTTACCATCAAACAAACATCTATAATTATCTTTATAGTTTATTAATCTGAAGAAAGTTTCATTTAATCAACGAGAAAATATTTCACATCTGCTTCACAAGGATGACTGAAAAATCGAGTTTATTTCAAGAATAATCAGAAATAATTAATCTCTAGCTCCAGGTCTGGACTGAACAAAACTCCTCCTCCATCTTTGACAGAAATAAAACACTGAGACCCTCTGACTGACTTAAAGACCTCGACTCTAAATACATAAAATTAATGAATTTAAAGTTCCTCTCTTTCATTTGATCTTTTATCTCTTTTATCTTATTTCAGCTTCACTGTCTTTTCAGCGTTTTTAACACTTGAACTCTTTTCTTAATGAACCTTTTAGTCCTTTCATTGTTTTATCTCTCGCTCATTTCCTGTTGCTCTATTTTATCATTACTATTATTATCAGTATTACCTTTTATCATTTTATTATCATTGTTGATTTTGTCTTTTATATTTACTACCCTGTTTCCTCTTTGTCCCCTCTTTTTTATCACATTTCTTTATATGAACTATTTTATGTTTTTATTTCGGTCCTCATGGTCTCATTTGATGTTGCAATGTTCTTGTTTTGTCTTTATTATGACATGAAAATGACCTTTAGTTCTGTTTTTAATGAGCTTTTTGTTTTTATCTTTTTCCATGTACTTTATGACGACATGTCAAAGCACTTTGTAAACTTCTGTTTTTAAAGGTGCTATACAAATAAAGTTATTATTATTATTATAATTATTTGGATGTGAAATTAAACATTTCCTACAGTCAGTGAACACACCTCCGTGTTTTAACAGTCCTCTATATTTACTCTTCATGAACTTTTAAACTCTTTAGAGTTTACAGAGTTTTAACAGTTAACAACTGACCTCCTCTGACCAGCAGGGGGAGCTCTGCACTGCAAAACCGGTCTGATTCTGTGTGTGTGTGTGTGTGTGTGTGTGTGTGTGTGTGTGTGTGTGTGTGTGTGTGTGTGTGTGTGTGTGTGTGTGCAGCAGATGTCTCTCAAACACAGAGCTGCTTTGTGTTCACGAATCAGTTCAGGTTTCCAGCAGATGTTCTCAGAGGTCAAAGGTCAGGAGTGTGGCAGAAAGTGCAGCGCACACACACACACACACACACACACACACACACACACACACACACACACACACACACACACACACACACACACACACACACACACACACACACACACACACACACACACGCACACACACACAGTTGGAGTTGTCTCTGGAAAGATCAAGTTTCAGACACGTTTTCGTTCTTGTTTTAAGTGTTTCTGGACGTCAGCTGATATTAAATAAAGTTTATTTCACCTTCAGAGGAATTTTCCGGAACCATCCTGCTCTAAAAAAACAGAAAAACATCCGAGCTGAAGATAAAACACAGTCTGTGATCAGACTCATCATGGTGGAGTGTTTTTAGAGAAGGTCTTCAGAGCCTCCTCCTCCTCCTCCTCCTCCTCCTCCTCCTCCAAAATCATCCTGATGATTCTGTCTCATTGATGGTTTAAATCAGTCTTAATGTGAGCCACGATCACTGTTATGAGTTTAAATTAAAGTAACTTCATAAGTTTGTTGTTCTCTCACCTGATTGGCCGGTTTGAGTTTCTGCAGGTGATGGACGGACGTCTCTGTCAGACTGAGGCTGATCATGTCCTCAAAGATCTGTTTAAGTCCTCAAGAGATCCACACAACACGACCGTGATGAAAGAAACACACACACACACACACACACACACACACACACACACACACACACACGCACACACACACACAGCTTCCTGTGTACCTGCTGTGTGTTTTACTGTCTCTGCGCTGAATTCCTCCTTAATGATCATCGTTAACAGTCAGCTCTGTTTATGTCCTCCTGCTGACACCCGTCTGCACGCGCTCAGTGCGTCTCTGCACGCGCTCAGTGCGTCTCTGCGTCCCTCGTCAGTCTGTATGGAGGCCACAGGTCCAGGTGAAGTCCGGCCTGGTTCAGGTCCACGTCAGCTAATAAAAACATTAAACATGCTGACCTGGTTCTCTCTCAGAACCCGGTCTGTCTGGTCCGCCTCGGTCCTCCGGGTCCAGGTCCCCCTCACCCCCCGGTCTTCATAGTCCAGCTCAAAGGCCGTGACAAATACTGATCGGACATGAAACCACGAATTAAATCAGAGAGAACAGACAGAAGTGAAGGAACGACTGTGGAGACAGTTGGTCAGTGACACGGTGGGGGGTCTCCAGTCTGGAGGGGTCTCCAGTCTGGGGGGGGTCTCCAGTCTGAGGGGGGTCCCTCAGGGGCCCCGTGTCTGAAAGACCGTGGAGGAGACCTCCTGATGTGAATGAAACTTGGTGCCGTCTTCACGGAAAAACGATAAAAACTTTCAGGTCGGGACCCACCGGATCAGAACCACTGGTCTAGACCTTCAGAACAAGCTGGACCCCCCCAGCCCAGGTGATCCGGATCAGAACCTCTAAACTGAAGACAGACACCAGGAGGGTCAGGGGAGTCTGGATGACCAGCTGCAGAGAAAGTCCAAACAGGTTTCAGGTCTCATCGCCTGCAGGGGGTCAGAGGTCAGGGCCTGAAGTGGGAGGAGCTTCAACCCCTCATCATGGAGGTCATGGACCAGGTCTAGATTTTAACTTCATTAAATCAAGTCCAACCTCAGGATGAGAGCGTGTGTCAGAGGAGCAGACTCTCTCTCCGTCCTCCAGATGGACGTCCAGGACGGTAAACATGAAATATTTTCCTCCTCTTAAAGCTTTTAATGGTGGAAAAGGTCTCAGGGGTCAGAGGTCAGAGGGGGAAGAATCCAGGTCACACCAGGCTGTTAGCCGTTAGCGTTAGCTTACATAACTCCAGCTGCTGCGGCGACGCTCAGCGTGAACCAACCGTCTGCTTTCTTTAATCTGAATGTCTGAGCCTCAACCAACACCTGAACGCACCACCATCATGACCTGTGTGTGTGTGTGTGTGTGTGTCTGTGTGTGTGTGTGTGTGAGTGTGTGTGTCACCCCGTCAGCTCTGACTGCAGCAGCACCTCGCTGTGAAGAAGGTAAAACGGTCTGTAAAGAGGAGCGTCCACACTGAAGTCCGACTCTGAGAGATTCCTCACCTCAGCCGTCAGTCTGCTGCGACACAGACGGACAAAAACACCACGAGACCGAGTGAGACAAGACAAGACCGAGCGAGACAAGACGAGACCGAACGAGACAAGACGAGACCGAGTGAGACAAGACGAGACCGAGCGAGACAAGACGAGACCGAGCGAGTCCAGACAAGACCGAGCGAGACAAGACGAGACAGAGCGAGACCAGACGAGACCGAGCGAGACAAGACGAGACCGAGCGAGACAAGACGAGACCGAGCGAGACCAGACGAGACCGAGCGAGACAAGACGAGACCGAGCGAGACCAGACGAGACCGAGCGAGACAAGACGAGACCGAGCGAGACCAGACGAGACCGAGCGAGACAAGACGAGACCGAGCGAGACCAGACGAGACCGAGCGAGACAAGACGAGACCGAGCGAGACAAGACGAGACCGAGCGAGACAAGACGAGACCGAGCGAGACAAGACGAGACCGAGCGAGTCCAGACGAGACCGAGCGAGACAAGACGAGACCGAGCGAGACAAGACGAGACCGAGCGAGACCAGACGAGACCGAGCGAGACAAGACGAGACCGAGCGAGACCAGACGAGACCGAGCGAGACAAGACGAGACCGAGCGAGTCCAGACGAGACCGAGCGAGACCAGACGAGACCGAGCGAGACAAGACGAGACCGAGCGAGACAAGACGAGACCGAGCGAGACCAGACGAGACCGAGCGAGACAAGACGAGACCGAGCGAGACAAGACGAGACCGAGCGAGACAAGACGAGACCGAGCGAGTCCAGACGAGTCCGAGCGAGACAAGACGAGACCGAGCGAGTCCAGACGAGACCGAGCGAGTCAAGACGAGACCGAGCGAGACCAGACGAGACCGAGCGAGACAAGACGAGACCGAGCGAGACCAGACCGAGTGAGACAAGACGAGACCGAGCGAGACCAGACGAGACCGAGCGAGTCAAGACGAGACCGAGCGAGACCAGACCGAGTGAGACAAGACGAGACCGAGCGAGACCAGACGCTGAGCGGAATAAGGACTTAAAGGGATATTCCGGGGTAAAATGAATCCATGGTCAAACCCACCGTAACACCGAGTTAGACTCCGCCCCCCTCCAGAGATGAATGTTGTCGACCGCTTCCTTCTCTAGTTATACCAACTTTAGTAACAACCGCAGGATAGAAATACAGAGAGCCACGCCCCCAACCAAAACGCCACTCTATAACCACAGATAATGCTCAGAACAGCACCTAACTTCATCAACAGGACATATAGGGTCACAGACATAGTACTAGACACCAAACATCTTTTTAACTTTGACTAATTTCTTTAGCAAAGAGACTAAACACAACTCACCTACTCTCTTCCAGCAGACGCTTGTTTGTAGAGAGACCTCAGGCCAGTCCATTACGGACTACAGCGGGGTGCCGCAGCTCAAGGAAGAACATTGATGATCATTTCTTCATGGAAATGCAGTCAGGGACCATTGTCAGAGTCGAGGCCTTCAGGACACAGTCTCACCTTCAGGCCCTTGAATGCAGCACGCTGCGACAGCTGACTGTAATTTAACAGATTTTATAACTGACACATGACGGAACAATAAATCTGCTGAATCTGCTTCTTTTACCAGTGAATGAAAATCTCTGAGCCACAGGTCTGTGAGGAGGAGGAGGAGGAGGAGGAGGAGGAGGAAACAGAGCAGATGAAGAAGGAGAAACAGTTGATCCTTCACTGCTTAGAAGTTTCTCCTCTCAGGGGAAATAAAACCACAGAGCTGTTCGTCTCTGTTTCTGTTTAAACTGCTGAAGACGCTCCTCTCTGCTGACTGATGGACCATACTGTGATATTTTTTATCATATTATACTTTGACGATTTGTCGGACTAAAATTAGAATTTTTATCATAGTTAACTTTGTTGGTTTTATCATATTATACTGTGACTTTTTTATACTAAAATTTAAATTTCATCACACTATCCTATGACATTTTTTTCCTATTATATTATGAATTTTTTAATAATAAAATTTGAAACTTTTATTAAAGTATACTTATCATACTACACTATCACATTTTTATAACATTATTATAAGATTTTCTTCATACTAATTTTGAAATTTTTATCATAGTAAATATGACAAATTTATCATTCTGTACTCTGACATTTTTCTCATGTTATACTCTGACTTTTTTTCATACTTAAATTTTACATTTCTATCATATGAAACTAATATTTTTATCATATTATACTTTGACTTTTTATCAGACTAAAATTAATTATTTTTTTATTATAGTTAACTTTGATATGTTTATCATATTATACTGTGACTTTTTTATACTTAAATTTGACACTAAAATTAGACTTTTTCTCACACTATCCTTTGACATTTTTTCATATTGTTTTATGACTTTTTTCATTCTACAGTTTAAAATTGTGTAATTTTATAAAAAAATGTATAAAGTGACATTTTTATCATATGTTGCTATGAAACTTTTTCACACAAGAAAATTTGATTTTTTTTTATACCAAAATTTAAATATTTTATTCTACTATAATCTGAGTATTTTTTCATATCATACTTTGATTTTTTTATACTAAATTTTGATATTTTTATCATAATATACTCTGACATTTTTTCATACTAAAAATCCTTCTGTCCTTCTTTCTTCTTTTGTTCTTTTCTTTCTTTCTCTCTTTCTTTTTTAAAGTTGGTTTATAAATTGGACTGAGTTGAGGATGTCTCTCCTCCTCCTCCTCCTCCTCCTCCTCCTCTCGGTGTCTGATGTCTGGCTCCTCCCTCTCCTCCTCTCCCTCCCTCCCCCTCTCTCTCCTCTATAAATCAGCCCGGCTCTCCTCGCTCTCAGACGGACTGCAGGCTGCGGACAGAGAGGAGGAAACAGAGAGAGAAAGAAAATCGGAGTTGAAGGTAGAAAGCAGAAGAGGAGCAGAAGTTTCCCAGTTTGAGAAAAGATGAAGGTCCTGGTCCTGGTTCTGGGTCTGGCCGTGGTTCTGGCGGTGTGTGTGGCCCGGTCTCCCTACCAGGCAGTTCTGCAGCACAGCCGGATCAGAGGCCGGCTGCAGGGGTGAGTCTGATCCGGGTTTGGTGGGTTACTCTCTTCAGGGGGGGCCGGTCTGTGCGGGGAACTTTAAACCTGCATGTAAACTTCATCCCAGAGTCTGGAATCAGGGTTTAAGGTCCTCATCAGACCCTGATCCACTTCAGAAGAACTCTGAGTCTGGAGGTTTAATCCTCATCCAGAGCAGCTCTGAGTTGAGGGTCTGGTTCAGGGTCTAAAGTCCTCTGGACAGACCTGTTTCGACCTCGTCAGGACAGGGTCTCAGGACTTCTTCAGACCTCTGTGTCTCCTGCAGAAGGTGAGGAAACATCTCAGCGTGTCCTCTAAAACAGACGAACCATTTCCACCTTAAATCAAACCTCAGTCACCTTCACACCCTCTGAGCTGTGATCCAACAGTGAGAGTTTCTGTCTGTGGGGGTTTTTGTGGTCCTCCTCAGTCCACCTTAAAGACTCTGTGGAGTAGTTCTCCTTCAGGGGTAAACGGAGGACCATGGAAACACTGAGGAGATGTTTGTAGTTTTAAAGCAGATGAATGTTAACAGACCGCACATGTTTGTTTCTGACAGCGAGTCCGTCCGGATCAAATCTCTCGGCTTTATTTCAGAACAGAGACAGTTTCTTCTTCTTCTTCTTCTTCTTCTTCTTCTTCTTCTTCTTCTTCTTCTTCTTCTTCTTCTTCTTCTTCAGTTTCTTCTTCTTCTTCTTCTGCTTCTTCTTCTTCTTCAGTTTCTTAGAGGAGCTCCGGTCTCTCAGGTTTCTTCAGAGTCTCTTCCTCAGAGGTGGACTGAAACAAACAGCTTTATTATTTCTGAGTTAAAATGCTGAGACTCTGTCAGACAGATTTAGGGTTTTCATTCGTCTGTCTGTTTGTGAATTTCCCTCCTGACTCTCTGTTGTCTCTCTCCTCTCTCTCAGGCCCAACGTTTGTGCGATGCAGCAGATTAAAGGCACCGACAAGAAGTACTTCACCAACTGCAAACAGTGGTACCATCGCAAGATCTGCGGGAAACCCACGTGAGTGTTGGTGATCCTGCTCTCCCCTCTCTGTGATTCATTCTCTGAAGGTTAGAGGCGTCTCCTCAGCCGCTCCTCCTCATGATCACTAACTGTGTCTCTGCGGCCGTCCACTGTTCAGTCTGTGAAGTTAGTGTTCAGAGGACAGAGGAATGTCCCTGTCTCGGGAGGTGTCCTCGCCTCTTATGTAACCACAGAAGAAGAAAAGTCTGCAGCAGCCTGGCAGAGCCATCAGTGTCAGTTTACTCCGAGTCTGGTCTGGAGGACACGTGTTCGAGTCCTCTCCTCTGTTTTATCACTTTAATGTACAAAGAGAGGGTCAACCTTTAACCACGAGGGCAGTGCAGAGCTGAGTCTGACCACTAGGGGAGCTGTTGAGCTGCAGCCTGAACAGAGATTTTAAAATACGTCTGCGCATCAGGAAACTCTTTAAAGGGATATTCCAACATAAAATTAATTTAGGGTCAAACTCACCGTAACACCGAGTTAGACCCCCCCTCCAGAGATGAATGTTGTCGACCGCTTCCTTCTCTTCCTTCGCTACCAACTTTAGTAACGACCACAGGATAGAAATACAGAGAGCCACGCCCCCACTCAAAACGCCACTCTATAGCCACAAATAATGCTCAGAACAGCACCTAAAGCGGGGTACACACGTAAAGATAACCGGGCTGTTTCTGTCCTGGTGTTCCCCCTCCTGACCAAGGATGACCGTCAGAAGATCATCGTATGTCCTCTAAGATGATCCTATAAGACCATCTCGTGTCTGAGGTGTATTTAGACTGAATTTGTCCCGATAATTGGGTCCGAAACAAGTCGGGCCGACAATCATAAATATTAAACTTGTTCAATATTTATGACCCGAAATCGTCATGTGTGGTGAAAGTGAACGACTCCCGAGTCATGACTTCGTGAATTGAAGCGAGCTGACAGAGGGTCAAAGAACCAAATACAGCGAATAAAAACCAAACATGGCCGACGGGAGAACGGGATTTAGTCCAGGATTTTCCTGTCCAACATTCTCCCAAAACCACCATCATTCCCTCCTCTTGTGTTTTCCCGGTTGTTGCTGTTTCCTCTTCGTTTTTATTAGATCAGGTTTGATCACGCGAGATTTCTGTCTTGGAGGACTAGATTCTAGATCAGTGTTGGAACATTTATGATCATTTCTTCATGGAAATACAATCAGACCGAGACGTTAAGACAGAAGAACTACAGCGTCTGTAAAATGATCAATATGGTGATTATTACTTCAAGGAAATGATAAAGAAATGATCATAAATGTTCTTCCTTGAGCTGCGGCACCCCGCTGTAGTCTGTAATGGACTGGCCTGAGGTCTCCCTACAAACAAGCGTCTGCTGGAAGAGAGTAGGTGAGTTGTGTTTAGTCTCTTTGCTAAAGAAATGAGTCAAAGTTAAAAAGATGTTTGGTGTCTAGTACTATGTCTGTGACCCTATATGTACTAACCTCAGTAGAACATGGTGTAGTTTTGTTCAGTAACAGAACCTCATTGAAAAATTAGCTGATTTAACTTTACTGTGCTCTTGTTCAAATATATTAACTCGACAGCACATAAATCCATACCTGTTAACAAAATCATGATTTTATTGATAATTCGGCTCAATAAAAACACCTTTACCTTTTCATTTTACTACAGTAGAAGTTTATTGGCCCAGATTACAGACTACAGAGGTGGAGAAACGCCCCCGCTTAAATTTGTTTTCTTAGGAGTTAGAACAACTCTGAATATAGTGCTATGGCTGTGACCCTATATGTCCTGTTGATGAAGTTAGGTGCTGTTCTGAGCATTATCTGTGGCTATAGAGTGGCGTTTTGGTTGGGGGCGTGGCTCTCTGTATTTCTATCCTGCGGTCGTTACTAAAGTTGGTCTAACTAGAGAAGCAAGCGGTCGACAACATTCATCTCTGGAGGGGGGCGGGGTCTAACTCGGTGTTACGGTGGGTTTGACCCTAAATTAGTTTTACAGCAGAATATCCCTTTAAGTTCATGTGATTGGTGGGCTGACTCAGTGACTTCCTCTCTCATGTGTTCACAGCGATCTTCAGATCTAGAGTTGGTTTATCTGCACACAGCATCATCGCTCTATGATATACATCAGCTGTAGTTTGTTGCACGTTAATGTTTGGACGGTCAGGCGTGGTCACAAACTTCAGATTCACTCCGACAGCCAGAGCGTCTCCTGTCTGTCGGTTGGTTAACAAACAGCTGATGAGTTATCGTCCACGTCTCTCCAGACTCCTCACTCCTGCTCCTCCTCACTGTGGTCCGTCTCTCTCGTTTTTCCAGCCCTCCTGCTTCACTTTCATGTTTGGATCTGAAGCACAGACAGAAAAGTTTGGTCATATAAAAGTGAGTTTCTGTAAACATGTCAGAGAGTCTGAGAAACGACGGGAACCTTCAGAGACACGGTGGGACTGTAGGTGAGGACAGAGAGGAGGACTGTGAGGACGCACAGACGGACAGAGAGCAGGATTCATGTCAGGGAGGAATGAGAAGTATCCGACTGAGCCTGAGGAAACACAGAGCCGCTCTCTCTGAGAAACTCTGGACGTAAACAGAAAGTGTCTGTAAAGCCCTGAGCTGAGCTGCGTTCAAGAGCTCGACGGAGGAAACCCTGAACACGGACTGAATCCACGTCATCGTCCTTCAGATGTTTACAGACGGGAAATAAACGAGGAGACGTTCACGGGTTCATCAGAATCATCCAAAGTCAGAGGGTCTGAGGGATGATCAGCTGTTTTAGTTCAGGTCTGAGGTCAAAGGTTAAAAACGGTCGTCTGCAGATTTGAACAAACAGAGCGGCGTCTGTTTCTCGCCTCGCTCCGACCTCCGTCACTCCTGAAGGTCGTCAAAGTTTCTCGTTGAGTCGATCGCTCAGCGGTGTGTTAGCGCCGCGGTGTGACGTTTCTGACCTGGAGGAGGGAGAGCGGCAGAGACCGGCAAAACTACGACAGATTATTGAGAATATCGAGATTATTGAAATTATTGAAAATATTGAGATTAATGAGATTATCGAGATTATTATAATTTTTTTGATAATTTAGATTATTGAGATTATCAAGATTATTATAGTTTTTAGATAATTGATAAAATTGAGATTATTTGAATAAATGAGATTATTGAGAAAATTG